CATATTATAAAGCCGTAAACATTGTAAGCATTTACTTATACATTTTCAATGAAAAAGAATATAAATTTAAAAATGGAAGAGGCAATTAAAAATTAAACCGGTGTGAACTAGATTTTCATCCACCGATTAGGACATGCCCTCTTGTCGCGATGGATTATTAAAACTTTCCAATCCTCATAATAAAGTTGAATATTGAAAATGCTGACTCCATTTTTTGCTACGTCAGAGCCGTCTCTAATTGCATCGAGTGGTGCAATTTGTAACGGCCTAGTTTTGAAATGGAACAAATATGAAAAAGTTATTGTCACTCAAAATAAATGTGACGATTTTGTTAATTAATAATTGAACCGCAGATTTGTATAAATGCAATTTAACCTTTTGTTTTACACATATTATGGAAATGTGTTTAATTATCGCATTCCATTTATATTAATTTTCACTGAGGACCACTAGGGTCCTGAATTTATTTGGAAATTCATTTTTAGACTTGAAAAAGGAGGAGCTTCTCAATTTGAATGTATTTTCTCTGTATTTATATTACTTGATATATACTGAACCGACATTGATAATTCTTTTTTTTAATCAACATAGTATTTATTCTCGTTTGCTCTCTTATCAATTTTAACACGAGTGAAGTGATAAATATTGCAGAGCAACAACTTAAATTACATAGGTTGTTGTGAACAAATTGAAAGAAACCGAAAATAGCAAAATTCGCCTCTTTGACATATTTTGTCTCTCACAATGCTTTATTTGTATTTAGTTTATACAATAAAGTATTTCCTTTTTCATTTTGTTTTTACATGCACTATTATGTATATGAATGTAAATCGGTCTTTCCATAATGAGTGTTAGAGTAATATAGACAAAATGTATTAATATTTCCTACCTACTAATCAAGAGACCTACGAAGATATTTGATAATGTAGTCCAAAGCAAAACTTTATGTTAATTGTCATTTACTTCAAAACAAAGACAAAAGTTTTGATAGCTGGAAACTTGAAAAGAAATTAGCCTCCGAACAACAAATGTACTTACATTTCCAGTTCGAAGGCTAATTTATTTTAATTTAATAGTCACTACTTTGTCTCTAATGTATTCAAGTAGCTAACTTGGATATATATAAACTTTTGTTTTAAATAATTTATTTAAACTTTTTTAATTAATATGAAACATGTTAGAAGACCTAGAGGTGTTGCACATTTTAGTTTTCATAGATACAGAAAGAGTACACTTAAATAATGAAGGAAACCTTCATAACAAAAAAATATGAAACAGTAGAATTAAACAAACCTACCCGCATGCCAAGCATGGCAACTACTGGCAAACCCCCCCATTTAGAGGACGCTTATGTTCACCAGTGGACAGTTAACAGCTGATGTGATGATAACGAATGTAAAGCAGAAAAAAAATAATGAAAAGTATGTCTATATACGTTAATGGGTATAAAGGTAATTTTTTTGAACCTACTGTGTTTATTTTTTTAACACATATATTATTGTAAGATAGATCAATATGTATTATCTAGAATTTATAAAATAAATTTACACTAATTATGTTACAAATGTAAAAGTGAGTTTGTTTGTTTATTACCTCCTAACATACTAAACTGCTAACTTAGTAGATTAACAAATCACTATTTATTTTAGTACACGCATACTATAAGGGTCGCAGAAGGGAATAGGCTAATTTTTATCCCAGTCAGTGAATATATCCCGGTCACGTGAACGAAGTCGCGGTTAAATAATCAGTATGCTATATTTTAACGTACACCATATCTAAACTAATGGGTCAAATCCTCAGACATGTAGACACGCTTCGCGCAACACAAAATTCTCTTGGGTCTAAATTTATTGGAAGTATGTTTATTGTAAACATAAAATTTAATGTTTTATATAAAATAATTCAGACTATTGTCAGAATGTTATACGTCAGTACTTCATTAGTGACTCAATGATTGATGAATACCAGTTTTCAAGCGATGACAATATTGACTCATTAAACAATATGAATGAACAATACAAAATATCCATTTGTAATAATTTATCGAACAATTTTGTTAAAATTTATTTTGTAAGTGGATTGTAATAAAATTTTGAATTGTGACTACTAAAACAATTATTACAAATACTCTGTAATCCTACTGATTATTTGTAATCCTCGGTTACAATTTTTTTTTCTATTTAAGAATAACTTATAAATTTAAATTATAATTATAAATTTCAAAATTCCAAACGGTACGTGCTGATGCTCAATGGTAATATAGTTTTCTAAAAATGAAAGAATTCTCTCTACCTGTGAGAAACCGAGCCGGATCAGTAGTAGACTATAAATAGATTACTGTGTACACGAGTACATAAACAATTAATTATTAATTGTATTTTAAAAGCGCTACTATCAAAATCAAAACACTACAATATTTAACATCCACTCTGAATCCGTTAGAACAAAAAAATCTCAATCGGACTGTGAAATTGCATTGTTGTGCATCCTACATTTCTGTGCATACATGAGTCTACCGTTATTAAACGATATGAAACCTACTAATGTAACCTAACCTAACATAGTAACACAATTGCAATATTCATGAATATTTTTCATTTAGTAAATATATTTTAAATGTATTACAATGGAATGATAAACCCATCTACGCTATTGCTATCATTATATACATCATCATCATATCAGCCTTTAACTATCTACTTCTAAACGCGAGCCTCCCATATAGGAGGGGCATTTAGCCAGTAGGTGGTATGCTTGGCAGACGAATTGGCAACCGAAGTAAGGCTTTTAAGAAGGACGCTGCTGCCCATCCCTCGACCATTAAGGTCCCTTAGTTCTAACTATTGGTATACACCAATAGAATACCATTGGAGAATAAAAGAGAGAGCATGAAGTAAGGTAACATTTCATGACATAATCATAATGATATTGAAAATTTATAATAACGTTATAATAATCATAATAATAAATAACGTTTAATCGATCGAGCTAAATAGAAATATAACGCCTGCATGACTTCTCATGGACATCACAATGTATTTTGCAATAATCGTGGTACTGTTCTCGTCTACAGGTGTCGATTACCATTTTCAATCAGGATTACCGTCAGCTTATATGAGTATATTTGTCACTCTAAATATCGTAAAAAAGTTCAATATTCCAGTATTATCTTAAAAAAGTTATTTGTTATTTTAATAATGTACGACAGTTACTGTGTTATTTTCTTATGTTACAGATTTTTTTATTAATAAATTGATGTTATTTTGTTTAATAACATGATTAGATTTATTTTCTTTACAACCAAAATTAACAACCTTTTTTCAAGTAAACGAACCCCTGAAAGTGTTTAGCCCCTCATAACTATTTTATATCCCCAATACATATTTGTATTTAATCGAATCATCTTTAGGCAGTAAAGATAGATAGATACTCTTTATTGTTTCCTCCAAAAGATTTCAGTAGTAAACTTATTATATATAGACACAAACAATTACAAGAAATAGTCACGCGGAAAAAAACAATACTCGGCCTTATCACTAATCACGATCTTTTCTAGGCAACCTTTAGGTACAAAAGAATAGTTATAAACAGTTTGATCGAATGTACGATAAGAATTCTGTTGTTTTTAAATACATATGGAAATGTAAAGCTATCGAAGTTTTCATTTTAAACAGAGAAAATAAATGTAATTTCTGTTTTGCAACTTAGAATGGCAAACAAGCTGACGGCCCATCTGATAAAAAGTGGTAACCGTCGCCTATAGATATGAACGCCCATGATACCCCCATGCGTTGCCATTCCTGAGGACTCAGGTCTTATTCTTCTGTAGCTTATAAATTCATTGTTATATCTTACTCTTCAAACCGAAACACAGCCATGCAAACACAACTGCTTCATGGTAGAAACACGAATGGGACAGACATGTCCAAGGAAATTACTTTTGTTCAGAGTCTCCCTGATAAATAAACTATTTACCATTCCTTAAATGACGAAACCAGTCAGGTGCCTTTTTATTATAATAATTTTCTTACACATACTATACTCCACCGACAAGAAAGATCACAGCTCTTAAATAGGAATGAATGAAAATTGAAATAGAATAGAAATAGCATAAGAAGGAACATTTTTTTTTTGCTGTTGTTCATCTAGTGATTATTTGGATATGATTTCAAATTCCCCCTATAAATATATCTTCATTTGACCTATTTTATCATCGAATTGATAATGTAATTTTTTTATTACAAACACCACAATCAATGTAACATCTAATAAAGTTGCACTTTAGTCATAATGAATTAATACTTATGAAGTTTTATTACTCCGTCTGTAATAGTCCGCCCATTAACGTTAACACAATTGCATTAATCACTTTTCAACCAACTCCAAAAATAAGGAGGTTCTCTATTCGCTTGTACATTTTTCAAATTTGTTATCTCATAACTCTGTTATAAACCAATTTTAACAATTCTTTTTTTTATCTGAAAGGATATTTGTACAAAGTAGTTCACGTTAAAAATTTTATTAAATTCTTCAATCAGTCATAGTTATATATTATAAAACAGTACAAGAATTTATTCTAATTTTAAAGGCAAGTATTGAAAATATTAACTTAATAAAAAAACGTATTAATTAAGGATAATTACTCAACACAGACGAAACAAGGTAAATAAGTTAAGATGGGTTAAGTATTCAGATCGAATAACTTATCAGATTTGTATATTTTTTGTTATTATGTATTATATCAGCAGAATCAGCATTCTCGAGGGCAGTCATTCCCTATGTTAATCTGGTCTAAATTTACATTCAAATGGGATTAATATCTAATACAAGCATGACGAGTGATACAATCAGTCCATTCAAAAACTACATAACACGAAACCCTCAACGCGTGAGTTAACTTGCAATCGACCAAGTATTGTAATAGCGTCACTGTAATTTATTATTTTTTTAATAATTGTAATGAATATTTTTTCCTCATTTCATTTGCACATATAATGTATGGATGTTTAAGAAAATAAGTCACTAGTAACGTTGACTCACTATAAACATGTTGTTTTTATTTTATTTGTTGTTTAATTTTCAAATGTTTAATTCTGGGTTTTCGCAATGCACGTCATCAGGAGGTATGTTATTTTTTATTATTCAATTAAATATGAATCTTATAAATTTATCCTAAAAACTTGGATATAATATGCAATAAATGACAAAATATTTTATGATTCAGTGGTTGGTGAGAATTCGCAACATAAATTATAGCAATGCTGTATTTTTGATATAAGAGACAATTAGGAATTTTTTTTTATCAATTTAAATTAATTTTATCTTTATTCATTACTAGCTTTTACCCGTGACTTCGCCCGCGTAACTCGGATATGTTGATTAACCGGGAAAAGTAGCATATAATAAATGTATACCAAAGATCATGATGATTGGTTAAACTATTAGAGGCCAAGAAGAAAAATCACTTTCATATTTATAAAATTAGTAATGGTTTATTGTTCATAGAACCCAGCTGTAGCAGAGATAATGAAGTGTTCGTAAACTGTAAAGTCGAATGCCCTGATAGTTACTGTCCTGTGGACGACAGCCGTGGGATTATTGCATGTGACCCACCATATCCTTGCCCACCTGGTTGTGTTTGCAAATACACACACAGAAGAAAGAGCTTGACTGATTTACAATGCATTGAACCTCAAGATTGTCGTAAGTATTTACTATTCTAAACAAAAAATTTTGGACTTCAACCTTTAGCTAATTATAATATGATATTACTTACACGGGATTAAATCTTTTCGATTAGAAAAAAAGTAAACCATAATTAAGATTATGTAACACAAAACTTACTTCAATGTGGCAAAAAACTATTGAACCGATTTTGATAAAATTTCTATGAGACTGATTTATAAGCATATTCTTTCAGATAAAAAAATTACAATTACAGACTTATAAAGTAACAAACATTAAAAAAATACAACCGAATTGAGAACCTTCTTCTATTTGAAGTCAGTTAAAGATCAATACAGATCATTTACACAAAAATAACATATAGTTTTAATATTCGTTTCCAATTTTAAAATAGCTATGAACATATGAACACAGCGTAAATACTCGTAAATAAATAATCAGTGAAAAAATATTAAATGGCGATTAACTGTTTTTTTAGCAATAATTAAAACAGGAAATGATTCTCACGCGTATACATATTTTTTATGTATGTTACGCAATATCTTCATTAATTCTAAACGGATTTCAGTCATTCTAGGATCTAATATCCTGGCAACACAATTTTGTAAAAAAAAATATGACAGCTTTTTTTATTAAATACAAAATAATATACTCGACAAAAAGTAGATGATGTATTATATTCACCACAATAATAACACTCAACAAATACATTACACTACCTTATCAACAATTACAATCGTAAGCATATAAATTTATTGTATTCTTTAACTTTCTTTACAATATAGCCCCAGTGAATTGCACTAGACCTAATGAAGTATGGTGTAGTTGCCCCTCACCCTGCCTCGCAGAGGGGTGTGCAGATGTTAACAACCAGCCAACTACATGCAACACACTCATTAAGCCTGTTTGTAATCCCCGGTGTGTTTGTATGGATGGATACTTTAGGGACGACCGCGATATTTGTGTTCCTGCGGAAGACTGTCGTAAGTAAAGGCTTTTCCTTATATCTTAAAACAGTTTTATACCTACAGGTATTAAATATTTGTATTTCAAATTACCACATTTTCGCCCTCTTTAACTCTTTCCCTATTTATTCGTGTGGGAAGTTTAATAAATCCCAAAAATTCTTCTTAGAGATTATCTATTTTAAAATAATTAACTTTTATATTAAGTGTTCTATTTTTGGTCACTTTATACTACGAGCTATTTATTAATCATTTTCTACATCGGTAGTTCGTAATCATGCAAAAGACCAAACTGGTCTATAAAATTTAATTTTGTTGAAAAAGAGCAACCACAATAAATGATTTGTTCTATCATTTTTGACGCATATAAATATTTTATTTCTTGTTTTTATTGTTTTAATAGAAAGAAACTACACTCATATTAATTAATACCTACACTCTACTTCAATTTTTTATTACAGCAGATGCGCAAACATGAAGGCGGAAAGAATATTTAATAAAAGCAAGAAAACGCCAAGAATACAGTCTCCTAACACCTAGATAAATTTATAGAATAAAATAAGATTTATGTATTTTCAAACTTTAATAAAAGTTGCTACATTAAAAATGTGCCTTTTTTTCAAAATAAATCTTATTGGTTACCAATTTTATTCCTAAATAGATGAACTCCTTTCTTTGTATGTGTAACAATGACGTACATTATACTAAATAAGAATGCAGTAATGACATTTATTTGAAACACTTAAAATGGCAAATAAGCAGCAGGATTCATGATGATGGAAAGTAGTGACCATCACCTGACATAAACAGTAGTATAATTATTACAGAACATAATATCCCTTAATAAGACTAAGATATTATGCTATATTTGGCAAAATCACTACCATTATGAAATATGCTATAGTATACCTTTCAAACCAAAATACAAATATGTAAGCACGGCTGCTTTACGGCAGAAACGCAGTTAAAATAAAAGATACCCAGTCAAACTATTTTTGTACAAGTCTCCCAAATTTGTACAAAATCCCCATAGGTTACCTGATATCCTCTGTTCTATGCAATACAAAAATTTCTACAATCTGACGATGTAAGTTTAGAAAGATATAGATAGATAGATACTCTTTATTGTTTCCTCCAAAATATTAAAGTAGTAAACTTATTATAAATACAAACAATTACAAGAAAAGAATACACTGAAAACGCAATTGGCGGTTTTTTTGCTAAGAGCGATATATTTCAGGCAACCTTTAGATGGAGAATCTTAATTATAAATAGATTGACCGAAGGTTATGAGTCCGTTCGAAGAATTTATCGTTGAAAGAATTTATACGGTTTGCCAACAACTAGATTTCAATAGTTTTATCTCACCCTCAAAACTTTGTGACCGTTCGCCTATAGTACAATAGGTTTAATACCATAAGTACATAGAAAAGAAACAGGGGTTCCTATGGGTGACCGCTGCGAAAGCTGAGCTATTTAATATAAACAAACTTTAAAGTCAAGGTTCACAATAGTATACAGAGAAGACGTTACCATATATGAAATATTGACACAGAAGGGAAACTCCTTTGATGTGTTTCCAAAGTGTAGTGGATGTCACAAGAAAATTAAATAAATTAAACAAAAATATATTATATTATATATATAACCAAATTATAGTTTACCTTTTTATCATCAGGTGTAAAAAAGATACATACAACACAGTTTAATAAGGTTTATGAGAGTCTTTAAAGTTTTATAAATTCGATAATCAATTTAATATAAAATACCAAAATACGTTAACATATAATTAAATTGAATTTAAAGAAAAGTTCAGTTCGAATAATAGGCTAAATCTGATTATTGAAATATCTACCCTTCGGTGACATAATCTATGACGTTATTAGAGAAAGAATAAAAAAAAAAAAAGAGGAGGAGAGACGGCAGATCGGCGGGGGCGCGGGAGTCGCCTTTTAGGAATTGCGCAATAAAAAAGAAAAGGAAAAGAAAAAAAATGGCGCGGGAGTCGTGTTTTAAGGAACTGCGCAATAAAATAAAAAAAAAATAACTAGGATATAGATCTAGGAGGGACTGGTTCGATGAAGGGGTTTGAGATCTTAGTGTATCACTATGGATTAAGTGTGTGAAATTAATCAATAGAAGACTGGAAAATCCGGTGAGCTTGTTCCATTTATTACTACGTAGTTAGATTTTTGACTGTGATCACAGGCAAAGTCTATACTTAATATTTTTCCCAACAACTATTAAAATACGTATTTAGTCGAGTCCATATACCTTTAGGTAATGCGTATATCGTTAAATGCAATCACATTTGAACAAAGTTTACATCAATATAATTTACGTACTTACGTTATTCTACTCATATACAAAATCCAATTATATTGTCGTTTGATAGAACTTCATCAATTTGATTCAATGTTCTAATTGTCCAGTTTTGGAAAATACTTATTGAATCAACTATTGAACTATTACAATACTAACTAGTTTCATATCTAGTTATTATAAAGTATTTATTTATTGAGGATAATAGACTAAAGTGACTATGGTTTGGTCTCATTGCTGGGGAAACAGCCATTGATGAGAGAGAGGGGTTATTGAGTGGCGACCCTGTAAATGCAAGTGCGGTGTGGGCTACCTCCATTGTTTGGAGTGACTGTTTTATGTGTATTGTGGGGCCGTTCCTTGTGTCAGTCGGTGGAAATTGCCTGTGTTCAGTCGTGGGTTGGTGATGGTTGAGACGATGATGATGATGAAATATTTGTATTTATTACACTATTACAGTGTTGGTTTGGAATATCTGTTCATACTTAACGCTTCATGGTGATGTGTTTTTATACCATTACTCGGTCGACCAGATTAATGATTCTTAGTCTATATTTGATTATCCATGACTACATGTGGGGATTTGTTTTACACCAGATGTACAAAGAGACAGCTTAACTGTTGCAAGTGATATTATGTGAATGTAATACTTTTAATACATTATTAATTGTGTTACTAGATAAATTCATGTGACTGTGGGGTGTTTATGGTAAACAAGCCTGTATTGTTTAAATAGATATTTTGTTTTGATTTATTATAAACTTTAATATTGATTTTGTTGTAGTAAGCAAGCTGATAATAACAATTCTGTGTGTATTACTGATTACTAATAATATTTAATTATGCTGATATTATAGGTGTGGATTTATTTCCTAATGGTAATAAAAGTACTTAAAGATTCTCTGACTATAGTTACCCTTAACTAGGTATGAGGTTCAGTATAAAATTGGTACTGTATGACACTTGTGAAGCTATGTATTTTACTCATATTTAGGAGGAAAGTTGTCCTGGCGATAAGGTTTGTATGTGTGTTGTTTGTTCATGTTATATTGACTAGACAAGTTCAGACAGGGTTAATATTAGTGAAAATTTACTGGATTTATATTTAATATACATGTTTTGAATATTTTATGGGAATAGTATGGAGATATACAAGTAGTAAAATATAATATTAGTATTTTATAAATTTAATTATTGAGTTATATGTTTATGTCAGACTGTATCCAAGGAGATATTATCCTATTAATATCAAGTTAGGACAATTACTTTAAATATTAATAAAGCAAACACTAACACTGATTATTCACTTCTTTAATAAATTTACATTAGAGGTTAGAAATCAAATAGATAGCATATTGGGAAAATCTTCACCACACATGTATTTGAGGAATGTTCTTGAGAATTAGTACTGTATGTATATATTATTGCAAGTACAATTGCAATAAGAATGTTAAACTTCTAATCTTCTGTTTATTCTTGAATTTGAGAGTAAGCTTGGCTACTGATATGAATATAAAACTGCAGCATTACTGGATACTATTAATTATTTCTGGTGTAAACCATGATTATTTATGTCACTGATAATTTAGTTTTATATTACGGTTGATATATGATGATTTTATATTTAGTTATATTAAACAAATACAAATAAACAAACTTGCTAGTATTTGTTACGTTGACAGTTGTGATAGATAATCAAAATTCAATTCAATACATCAATACGTCATTCAATACGTCATTAATGTGACAGATGTCAAACAAAAGGAGATTATACACGTTATGATTCTATATCTAAGTCTATAGAAAATTTATATAATATTCTGTTATTTTATAATAACTGTAGGGGGACTATTGGAATTATTTATATGAGAAATTTCACTTAAATGATATGATAATTATTTAAAGACCTAATTTCTTAGGGATTTAATCATGATGATTTAAACACTAAAACACTTGTTGATCTGAGAAATCTTCTTAGTAAATAGGTTTACTAAGACACTAAAAGGAAGTAAATATAGTATAACTATAGTACAGCTACAATAATTGTATAAGACTTACTGTCCTTTCTATACAAATATATATTTAATCTATATCTTTCACATTATAATTATGCAATATATTGCCTCTACTACTACAACATACACAAATAGGACTTATTGTCCTTCCTATATACCTATATATAATAATTGACCTGGCACTTTAATGTGTAATTTATCAGTACTTATGACAACAACCAATTAGGACTTATAGTCCTCTCTATAAAGCTACATAATTATTTAATCTGATTATTTCACAATGTGATTAATCAAACCTCTACAAATATTACAAAAGATCTCTATTACTCTCAACACAATAATAGCTTGTTGGACTTAGTGTCCTCAAACTTATAGAAAACCCAACTGGTTATTTCACGAGACGTTGTTAACTTGTGATTAATCAGTGTCTTTTAAAGGACTTATAGTTCCTTTAGATATATCTCTCTGAATAAATAATTGGTTAATTCACAATGTGGTTAATCAACAATAATATTATATATAATTGACTGGACTTATAGTTCATTCAATAGCACTCATTACTTTTAGTAGCTCTCGACCTATGGGTTGGACTACTCGTTCTTAGGCTCCGGCCTAATCAACAGATTTAACTTGAACCTTGAGTATTCTTGGTATTAAGTAAATAATATTAAATTGACAATGCTATGTTATGATATAGCAATTATCAACATTATATGGCTTGGCCAATTCCAGGGTGTGGAAGGTATCCCCTATCACACAAATCTTCATCTCTATCGGACTGTCTTCACAGGTGATCTCTAATGTCACATTATAGGGCCGAAGGGTTATGTCCCAACAAAGTAAGTTCTGGTGTCTGGGTGATCTCGCTTCTTGGTCTGATCTCTTGTGGAGCCGAAGGGAAACCCCCATTGAGTAAGCTCGTAACAGGGTGACGCTGGGAAACAGTTTCGTACTGTTAGTGGGTGATCTCTATGTCGCCATATAGGACTGAAAGGGTCATCGCCCATGAGTAAGCTCTCGTGTCGGAGTGATCCTGGGATTTCAGTTCCGATCCTTTTGCCTCTGGCAAACACCAATTTATACTGGAAGCATCGTGGGGCTGGTGGAGCCACTGTAATGTTGAAGTAAATGTACTTATGTTTGGTTTGGAAATTAATATATTATATTCTAACTTCCTAGTTACATGAATTATGAGTATAATTCATTAATTATTCTTAATCCTTAAAGACTTATCAATCATCTTCATTTTTTAACTCCTATCATATACCAATTAAAGAACCTTTTGGTTATTACACACACAACGGGTCCTACATTACTAGACGATCACACATTTATTTATTTGGCCAAATGATCAAGTGTTCTATTATAAGATCTGTTCAATATTATGTATTTATTGTAAGGGTTTATATGATTCATAGGTTGTTTGGGGTGTATAAGACAATATAGGTATGGGGTTATATTGAGAGTGTTAGGCCATTCTTTAGGGTAGGTTTTCATTAGATTTTCATAGATTTCATTAGGTTAAGCCTTCGTAGGCTTTTCTTAGGCTTTGTAGGTTTTCCATGTGTAGGTTAGTTTAGAAGGTAGTTATTTTATATAAGGGGTGACACATAGGCAAAGGGGGGGACCATCACAACTTGGTGTGAAATTGTGCGACAAATACCTAGTTCCGACACAAATCTCTCAATGTTTGCTGAAAAATCAATACAAATACTTTGAAATAAATATTTTGTTAGTAAGTTGCAAGCCTGAGAGTTTGGATAATACGAGTATAAATTGAATAGTAACTTTTTTATTAAGAATACATATGTCCTATTTTCATCTACAAAAAAATAAAAGAAAATCAATAACAAATCTATACAATTTATAAGATCTATTGATAAGCATTTGAGTAACTCTATTGTATCTACTAAATACAGGTAATACTAGTTCTAGGTTGGGCGGTATATGAATCTGTTGGCAACACCAGTTACTCAGTTATTAAATTGGCAACACTGGTAACTCGAGAGATAGATTCCCGCCTTTTTTATTGTATTGATTCATTACATGTTGGGTGCCATTTCGTTTAACCGTACAACCATTATTGGGGAATTTAAGTCGCATCATCTAGTCCAACTACCAGCAATTGTCCACTCCACTCCAATATTAGACCCTTATATTTGGTGATTGATTGATACTGCAAACAATACCATTTGTCTCACTATCAGATCTGTATACTGAATATAATAAAATAGCTAAATAAAGCTTCATTACCAAATATTATTAAATTTTATTAAAATTTGTGGTTTCGTTACAACTTAAAGAAAAAATAACTATTATAATTAAATGTCTTCCAAAAATGAATAGTTTCTCAATTGGCGTATATTTTCAAATGATTAAAAAAAATGAAGGGTCTTATTATTTTATTCTATTTTCTTTTATTTATTACCTTACAATTCTGTAATTTACAAATTGATTCGAAAAATTATTTATTATCTGAAAAGTTATACTGTCAGATTTGTTTCGTCAGAAATTTTATCGAACTCAGTTCTGTAGTTTAGTTTGTAAAACAAATAACGGGTTCTGCCACGATTTTTGTTATTTATCTTAAAGTTTTTAATGTTTTTTATGTAACAAAATCTTAAATTATATAAAGATATTTCACTTGACTCACTTTGTATCTGGCAATACGTAAAAATAAATTTCAACAGTACATTTATATTTGTATTTATATTATATTTATAATTGTTACTAATATTATAAATGTAAATTTGGTTTGTTTGTTTGCTGTATATTATCTCTTGACATCTAACCTCTACGACTAGTTTTATGTAATTATACCAAATGTAATTGAGAAAGAGATAATATTACTTTTTATCACGCTCTATAAACATATCCCGGTCACGTAAACTATTTGTGGGTTATAGAAAAAATTATATAAAGTGTAAAAATAAAGAGCAACACCGCACGGCATCGACTAGTGTTACAACAAAGAAATTTGATAAGGGGCTTTCCAAAGGAAATCCGATAGAGGTTGAAAGAATACTGAGACAACTACGGAAAATTGAAGGGAAGCTGCCGGTGTTCGCCGCCTTAAACATTTCACCCTTCGCCGAGCAACTTTGTTGCGAGATTTCGCTGGAGTATCCGAGTGAATGAGATTTCTTGAACTGCTCACAAAATGGACATAAAATTATGCTAAAAGGAAAACACCTTCAGATAAGCACTTATTTATTAATTGCTAACTGTATCTCGCGACTTCCTCCGCTAATAATGGCTACTTGCTAGGTAGGTAGGTAGGGTAGGTATAGGTAGAAAGCAAAACAATACTGATTATGTTATGATAAATAATAATAATGTTCTACGATTGTTACGCAATATTTATAACTAATTCATCATCATCATCTCAGCCATTGTCTGTCCACTGGTAAACATAGGCTTCCCGCATAGACTGCCATAAGGAACGATCCTTATAAACTTGTATTCACTGACTCCCTGTAAAGCATTTGAGGTCGTCACTCAATTAGTGGGGTATCATCCCCCACTGCGTTTGCCCGTACGGGGTCGCCGCTCAAGAACCTTTCTTCCCTATCGGTTATTGTTTCTTTGAGCTACTCGTATATGACCAACCCATTGCCACTTTAGCTTGCTTATCCTTAGGACTATATCGGTTATAGTTGGTTAGTTAATTAAAATTATTTTGTTTAATTCTTCTACTATTTGTATGTGTACGACTATCAACATTTGAAGATTGACTATCATTATTATATATTTATACATATTTTATATATTATACATCACCAAGTTCAGTAAAATGTATTTATTATTTTTCAGACAAGAATAAAGGATAACCACTTTGACTACGACGGAATTGCATTACATAAAAATAAGATTTAATACTATTGATACTTATTTTTACTTTTATCAAACGATAAAAAAAAAAAGGAAAACTGTCATAAGATATTTACGTTATTATAAAACGCGAAATTTTCTACAATGTTTAACAGACTTTGGCGGTTATTTTTAATTGTTTAAAATTTATATTTATTATTATTATTTTAGTCGAACATTCTTGATTAAAATACTCATATTCAATCAATTCGTTTATTATTACATTAAAAGATTATTTTTTCATTAAACGTGTTTACTCCCCCTTACGGACCGTACTAATTTTGTCAATATTAAAGTATTTCTTGGAACAAAATATTAAATATCGATTGATAACTAGATTCTGCGTATTGTTTCGTCCATAAAAATTACATAATATATATTATGTAATATATAACATTTATTAAAATATGTTTGCATTAGGTATATACCTACATATGTTATTTTTTAACTTTGTAAGTATTATGCATACTTTATTTTAAACACTTCTAGTTTTTATCCGGGACTTTATCCACATAAGCATACTATATTGATTGACAGAGATAAATAGTATCACTATGTCATATTCCATCACAAATACAATCTGTCCTTGTACCGTAAACTTCATGACGATTAGTTGAATCCCCATACGCCTGCACGCACACCTGCACGCACGCCTGCACATATGTATTCCAACTATGTATGGTAGACATCCTTAAAAAATTAACAAAGTAAAATAATTCAAAATTTACTTGACAATAAATATTAAGGCGCGAAAATGTAACAAAACAAACTTAATTTCACATTTATAATATTAGTAAAAGGGGGGGAAGGAATTGTTAGTAATGGAGTCTAATAGCCCCATTACTGGCAATATACCCTCTCAGGTTGACCTCCACGCGGTTCCCCCTGGAAACCATCAAGTTTAATTCTTGCCGAATTCATCATGGTGGGCCAACTAACCTGCATTCATTCTCACCTATCCTCACCACCTTCCACTGGTACCTCGTCGGTGTATACCAATAGCGCAGGCCAATACATTATCGCCCATTAAAAAAAAATTGTAAAAACATGCATAAGATACCAAGACAATATACACATATAGTACATATTTTATACATTGGTAAATATTAAAGTAAATAAATAGTGAGAACGTATGAAATACAAAAAAACAATAGCATAATTATGTTCAGTTTAACAAATTAATAAAACGATTAGTTTAACACTATTGTACAATGTTGATAATTACTCGGTAGCTGAGTAGTAACTTAAAAACAAAAGCAATTAACTAAATGGACGCTTATTATTATAGATGATTGTAAAAGATGCCACGCAATCATTTAATGGTGTATTTATATAAGGATATCAAATCAAGGAAAAATCCATTGAATTCGCACTTAAGAATCAAAGAGTCATTGTAAAGGAAAAAGGAAAATTAAACATTCATTTAATTCTAGACATTGAGTCAAAATTTGCGTGAAATTGTTCACAGTTCGTGTCTAACAGTCGACAAGTGCTGACGTCAATTAACATCATGTCGAAGTTTATTGTGTTTACATTGGTCTTCTCGTTTTGGATTTATTATATTCATAGTGAAGGTATAAATTAATGTGTTATTTATTTAATTCATATATTATATTAATTTTCCCATTTCTAATTAAGGAGGTTATAAGTACAGATTTAAGATCTCACGCTCTTATAAAAATGTCTTTAGTAGTTCTTATAAGAGTGATGTTAATGCCGGAAGGTAAACTACTACCGTAATAATCGTATACAATGACCAATGACCTACTACTATGAAGTTGAATACTGAGTTCTGACATATATCTTTATTATTCTTCATATATATGTATATCTATATGTAAACAGTTTTACACAAATCTATCTCATGATAAGCCTTATTATTTCCAACGCCACTGTATTAGATAGACTAGAAGAAATCTCTTTCAGAGAAATTCACTTTTGGTTACACTGTATCTAGTAATTATCTGCACTGCATTTTTAAATACAATAAATCATGTTTATTTTTATTTATTTTAATGTGTATGTAAGAATATGACAGAGGTAATCAAAAGTACAAAGGCGAGCTTAACTCTGATAGAGTTTTCTTCCAGCAAACCCAAATTGGAAAAGAGCATCAATGTCAGCGGATACAGCAGGGTACAATATTGTGACAATTTTTAAACAGACAATGTTCATGTTTGTCATTTTTATCAAATTAGCATTGTGTCATCGCATTTATTATAAATATTTATACATATTAATTCAAATATATTGACTGTTCAAAGTTTTGGAATCATCACTCATCTACTAATATTCAAACATTATTAAATTTAGTTTATTCCCTACAAGCTGTATCCCGTCTTCACCCTCATAAATTAATATATAAACTATCCTGTGTTAAGTTAGGATATATCGTATCCGTGTACCAAATTTCATTTAAATTCATGCAGTAGTTTTTGCATGAAGATGTAACCAACATCCATCCATAAATCCTTACAAAATTTCGCATTTATCATAATTAGTACGATATTAATAGGATCGTTGGTATCCTTTTTTGTAGTAGAGCAGCTTTGAAAAAAATTTGTGGGTAAAGCAAAAGGTTGATCGTATTCATAAGCTATATTGTCTCTGTTTTTTTGCCCAGATTGGTATGGTCACATGTAATGCTATTATAAGAAAAAAGAACTATTAGTTTTAATGAGCAGTACGATAAGTAGAAAATAGAATTTTTCAGTGTTACACTGTTTCTTAGACTATAAATATCTACTTTACTGAGATCAAGGACTCGCTGCTATTGTTTGACATCTATATATAGACACCAATTTGGTGTAATTACCTCATTAAATTTACATTTGCATGACATATCATTGTAATATGGAAACTAGTGTAAATAATAGTAGTAAAACTTGCTATGTTTCTGTTAGTCGTAAACTTGAATTATTAAACACATACAAGAAGCATCAAAATTCAGGATGACGGCAATCTACATGCAACATAGTCACATGGAAACAGAGTAACATGTTTCTGTATAAAATAAATATAAACAAAACTGGTTCTAAAACTAAAACTGTCTAAAACATTATCTCCTCACATCTTTTATGAAAACTGAGATACCGTTTAGACTACAAAGAGTTAAAATATAATACCTACATCTTTTTTTATTAAATATCTAATATTTGAGTGTGTAGCATTGTACATCCAATACATAGAAGAAAAAAAACATTTGAGGAATACGAACCTTAGGACTGATAAATTTCATATGCATAAGATTCGTACCATATCTAGAATATTTACTACAATTGTATAAGTTGGTGAACATGTTTGCATGTATATTGTAGTTTATGAATAAATAATTCACGTTTAAAAAGCTACACAGATTTGATCAACATTTTATAAATAGATAAACTATAATTTCTATTCCAATTCATGCATATAAAACCACTAGTTTTAGCTAGTTATTTTTACTTGACATATAATAATTTCAAATTTACCTTATACATGTGTATTCCGTACTTAACAACTCAAAACATGTACTTTTCAAGTGATCCAGGTTGTAAAACGTTCGGTATGCAAGCACAATGAGATGCAAGTGGAGTGTGCGCACTGCGGCCCGAAGAGATGCGATGACCTGGGATCCCCGGTCCCCTGCATTGGTGCGAATGGAATATGCCGACCGGAATGCGTGTGCATCGACGGTTATGTGCGAGACACTAATGGGACTTGCATACCGAAAGATGAATGCCGTAAGTTATTTAATAATGTAATTAAAATTAATTTACATTAAAAACTCTGATAAAATAGCAGATGCATTGAATATCAGTTATCTAGTATATGACATGAAAATATAAAATCCGACCGATATTAATATGGATATCTGACTAGCATAGGCGATACAGAAACAGGTAATGGACTTTTTGCGCCATCAATGTGTAGTAGAAACTAATATATCTATAAATATCGAAGAGGTATAGATATAACACATGTCTTGCCATTGCCAATAGTGAGAGTTCAATGCCATCACCAGTAGTAAGTAAGTTTGTCATTATACCCACTAATTCGTTAAATTAAATGGGCATGATGTCTGTACTATTTTACCTAGTAGGTACCACCAATACTACCATCAAACTTATTGACTTCTGACTTCTGGTCATAGAGGTAATTTCTTTCATATTATTTATATTCATTAGAAGAAAATTTTAGCTTACTAATACTATGATAGCCAACCGATTTCGTAAAGAGTTTTTATCTCGAATTCTTCTTCTGTATTTGTGTATAATCTTTTATTCCCTTGATCACCTCTTAAAATATTCTAAAGATGAAAAGAAATTATGAGGTGACATTATTATACATTCCTTCATCACTTGCAACTCAATCATTACAATGATAACTAAATAGATGAGTAATTGTTAGTAATAGAAACTATCTGTTCCGTTGCTATGTTGGTAGCCCTATCATGTCGACATCTACACATTGGAAGTCATCGTGGTCAATTTCTGATGAATTCATAACAAGCCAACTGATCTGAGTACGTCCTTACCTTTACCTTACCTTTTGCGTGATCACTGTTACACTTATAGCACAGGTAGGATTACAATTCTATTATGATCCTTTAAAAAAATATATCTAAATTATTTCTGTGGAGAGTTTTTTGTGTACTTTTTATTGTACTGTTAATTTAAATATCAGTATAGTTACTATTTAATTTTATTATTCATCATCTCGTACTATAAACGTATACATTAAGAGTTAGAGCTTAATAAAATGACCTCTCTCTCTCAAAGTCGACACGCTGCGGTAGTTTACTACGCAAATACGTATACTTTAATACATTGTATAGTTTCGGTCGCGAAATAGCCTTCAGGATATAATTTAATAGCAGAAGCTCTAAACTGCCGCTTTAGTGATTCGCAATAGAACCATAAAACGATTCACATTTACAATTCATCTATTTGACACTACTTGAGAAAATCTAAAATGGTCATGAATTGTTAATATATTAAAGTATTGTAATATGTATGTAAATCTGAACTATAAATTCTGGAACATTACCGCAGAATTGCGCATCTCTCTATATTCTACGAGTATAACAATTTTTGGGATTGTATTAGGAACCTTCATTTCAACATTATCAAAATAACAGTTATAGGGAGGGAGACTTTGTACAAAAGTCGATTGCTTGGGTACCTCTGTTCTATTCGTGTTTCTACCGTAAAGCAGCTGTGTTTGCATGGCTGTGTTTCAAGGGTGGGATATGGCGGAATTTAGAAACACAAATGGGACACATTCGTGTTTCTTTCACCATGAACTCTTCTTCCCCTCACTATCTGAAGGAGCGGTTTGAATTCTTGCATACCGTCAATTCTTTTAATCTTAGGCTGTGTTTCGATCATTGAAGGGTGAGATATGGTACGGCTGGTTTTAAAACAAAACTGAAGAACTATTATTTGAGCAAGTTGTCATCAATGTGTTTATATGTCTGGTTAATAACACTTTTCGTGAACAGTATTTATATATTTTTATGTATTTGTGTAGGCGTTTATGTCCATGTATGTATATGGCATATGTATATATGTATATATATATATATGTATATGTGTGTGTAGGTGTATGTATATAAATATAATAATGGGGGATAATATTTATATTATTATATGTATCACATCTCCCATATTTAGAAACAAAATTTTTCATCGTATGTTTATAATTACTCTGTTATGTCCATGGTATTATTTATATTTCTGTAATTATTTATATTTATAATAAGTTTACTATTGTAATCTTTTGGAGGAAACATAAAGAGTCTATATCTATCTGACGGTTACCACTTTCCATTAGGTGGGCTCAGCTTGTTTGCCATTCTAAATTAAATAAAAAAATAAAATAAAAAAAAACTTATAGAAAACGTATTCCATTAATCTATGCATTATATTAATTTCTTACTCGTATGAGAAATGGCCAAAAAATGAAATTGTCCTTACGGATAATTCTAGCTGCAAAGCACACTGATATGCAGCACAAGTTCAGGTAGATTGACGGCTCTGCCACAATACCGTCCTACTGAGCATTTTTTTTAAAGATTTAAGCATAGATAAACCCCCATCTAGCTCTGAATTTGTTTTCATTCCAAGACTCATAAAATCCACATCTGTTATTACTAAAGTGTTATGCCGTTTATGGATCCGCAAACTCTAGCTTTGATCACATTTTCAGTTTCCATCAGATTGATCCAGATCAACCTCGGAACTCTTTAATAGTAAAAAAGAGCTGTTTATTGAAATCCGTTATGTCCCGTTTCGTGAGAATTTTGAGAAATCCTTAAAGAAATTCGTCATAAAAGAATCTATTCAGTATCAGAAAGTCGGTTAGAATGTCTTATTATGAAAATAAATTAAAATATGTTGCCATAGATCTTTTTTTATAGCACAGCATAGTATAGTGGTATGGTATGGTCATATGACCTTAATATACCACCATACCAGGCTGAGCGAGTAACCGTCTCATTTACGGATTATTTATGGGTGGCAGCGCCCGCGTGACATCCCTGGTGTTACAGGCGTCCATTAGCTACAGCATTACTGTCAGACGAGCCGTATGCTTGTTTGCCACTATAGTAGCAAAGTACAAAGAACTACTTTCACACATTGTCATAGTAGTATAAAAACATATTATAATATGTTAACAAGAAAGAAAAAAGTGCCAAGTAAATGTCATTAGTAAGTTTGTATGTTCATTACTGATTTCTGAGATAAAGCGCTTTGATTTAGTTTAGGGTCCAGTCTCTCCGAGTGTTATATTGCCATATCTGTATTTACATTTATCGATATATAGTTTTTTTTTTTCGTATGGCTACTTATTTCCTGTAAAATTTGTGGAAATATTTTTTTATCTTGATACTTTAATGACTTAACTGATCATTATGAATTTATCATAGTAGCACCTATGTTAACGAAGGGCGTAGGCAACTTTTTATTTCTATCAAATATGTTCCGACCATGCAAATAAAATCACAACCTCAACACACTAGTGTATATAACATATTTAGATGAATCACAAATATGAATAGTTAAGGGACTATGAACTAACAGAGTAATTGTTTTAATCCTTACGTTTTTATAATTTTAATAGATCTAATGAAATGAATGGACTTTACAACACATTATTACTTTTTACTTTTCTATTATTATACCAATTCATCTGACCAAAGTTTTTTTTATACAACTTAGAATGGCAAACAAGCTGATGGCCCACCTGATGGAAAGTGGTAACCGTCACCTATAGACATGAGCAGTACCATGAACATAACAGAGTATACTGTTTCGTCCATGATACCCCCATGCTTTGCCATTCCTGAGAACTCAGATGTTATTCCTCTGTAAATTCACGCTATATCCCACCCTTCAAACCGAAACACTGCCCTGCAAACACAACTGCTTCACGGTAGAAATACGAATGGGACAGAGGTACCCAAGCAATCGACTTTTGTACAAAGTCTCTCTATGGTAAAATATATAATATTCCTTAAAAAATGAGCTATCAAATGCAAAATGAATTTTTCAAATCCCACTGATAATTTGGTAACTGGTAACGTGGTAATAAACTCTTCTTATGGGGAGAGTTCCATAAAAGGAAAATATTAAAGGACATAGTAGGCCATTAATAGATTATTATAATATTAATAAATCAATATTACATATAATACTAAAATACATGATATATAAAAACAATTGACAAATGACACCCAAGAATTTGTACGTTGCATGCTTATTGCATTTAATATTTTATTGTGAAACGAGGAAAACGTGTAAAGTACAGCTAAGACAAGTTATTACTCAAAGCAAGTATGTGAACATGTACTTTAAGGAAATCAATTTGTTGATGTTATAATTTACTTACCCGTTATGCAAATATCATAGGTAGATAGGTATAAATCTATATACGAATACGTATTCGTTATACTCGTATGTGAGTATATTGTTTCACTATTTCATTATGAAATCACAGTAGATACTTTCTTCAGAATGTATAGTTAATTAAAAAAAATTATACAGCATGAGACTTTGTACAAAAATCCTTTGCATGGGTACATCTATCCCACTCACATTTTTGTCATATAGCAGCTGTTTTTGCATGCTGGTTTTCAGTTTAAAGATTGGGATATGGCAGAGAAATCAAAGCGTACGAAAACATAACACTACACCGGTTAAGAATGACAACCCATAAGGAATACCATGAAATGGCAACCCTAATAATCTCTCATGAATATAATATGACGGTTACAGCTTTCCATCAGGTGTGCCGTTAGCTTGTTTCCCGCTCTAAGTTTAAAAAAAAATTTGTGTAGAACCGACGATTTTATATTAAATATTTTTTTTATTTCAATAATTATAACTATGTCTATAGACAAATGTCAATCCTGATAAAGAAGACAATCATCAGCGCATTATTGTCTCTTATTGAATGTATTTGTTGTCATCAGCTAGTTGCGGTGGTGATTTCAACGCGACGTCTGGTTGCGGAAACCATTGCGGCAACTCATGTTCTGACTACAAAGAAGTAAACAAGACGTGTCTCACCGGTTGCCGTTACAACAGCTGCGATTGTAAAGAGGGATACGTTTACAACGAGCATTTGAAGTTTTGTGTTTTACCAGTAGACTGCTGTGAGTATAAATATAACCTTTACAGTACTTATAATAAAAATTATTTTACTATATGAGTATTTTTGTATCAGCCGTTAACTCCTACGTTCACTGGCAAATAAGCAAAATTTTGGAGACAACCATTGGTTAATTGCTAGTAAATTTATCACAAACTCATTATTGGATTGGGTTTAACTTATCATAGTATTTATTACACATTAGCATATCATTAAAATTCGTTGTATGCCTTATTTCATACTCATATCCATTCACAAACAATTTCTTCGTCGTGTGTTTTGTTTTCGAAAATAGTAACAATTCTCTATCCGCCTTTTTATAAAAATACAATTCCGAAAATATCAGAAATATACAAATAAATGACGTACACAATTTTTATAATCAAGAATATTATTGGAGCTTAACATTTAGAGTTTATTAAAATTGTAATAACATTATTTATCACATAATAGCACATTATACTCGTACTATATTGTACATCGTATACATGTCAATATTATTATAAATAATTTAATTTCAATTTCATTGGAAATTCCATATCGCAAAACTGGTCAATTATTATCATCATTATCATCACCATATCAGCTATTATCTATCTACTGCTGAACATATATAGGTCATCCCAATAGACTGCTATAGGCAACAGTCCTGAGCCTGTCTTGCATCACTTTATCTAACGACCTCAAATGTCCAACATTTGAGGTCGTTTGTACTACACCGCATTTGTCAGTACAGAGTCGCCACTCCATAGTCTTTCTTTCCCATTGGTTGTCGGTGCTTCGAGCTATATCGCTAGCCCATTGTCACTTCAGTTTGCTTATCCTTCGAGATGTGTCGGTTACTTTGATATGAATAAAATCAGTTGATCAGAATGGCTATATGTATAAAAAAAAATATTTATACAAATATTTATTAAGTCATATTAAAATACATATATACTGTGACACCAGCAATGTAATGGCATACCATTACGTTGTAGGTGACACATGATACCTTTTGAGAACGAAAACAACGTAGATACATATTGCTGATTCAATGCATAAATATGTACCTAAGTAGTATTTACTTAGAGACAATAGGTCTCTCAGCACTCAAAAGAGTCACACAAACCTACCATTTAGATACAGAAAAAAATTCTAACTTCATTGTTTTATTGCTATATGTATTGTGTGTCTTTAATTTTATATACAATATGGCAAATAAGCTGACGGCCCATCTAATGGAAAGTGGTAATTTGAGAACAATTAACACGAGGGTATTAATAAGATCAATAGAGATCAAGACAATATTTTTTTTTAATGTTGTGTCTTTATATCTATATGTTTGTATCTATATAATTGTTCCGGAATCACGCAAAAACTATCCCACCAAATTGGACGTAGTTTTCACAGCTGTATTCCAACAAGTCTATTTCAAAATCTGCTATATAATTTATCTTGATGCGCCATCTAAAAGTAGAAGATTTTCTATTTCTAAAATCCATACATACAAAGTAACAGCCATAAGGCTAGTATTTTAAAAGACTAGAAGTCTCATTTTATACTAAGATTTTATTGCTAAAATTAATATTTTTAAGGTTATGTTTTAGTACCAGAGATGACAATTGTAAAAGATAGTTTTTTTAAAAGTTTCAGATATTAATTTTTATTAATAATTATAAATTCACTTCACATGAGAACATTACTAAACGAAATTTCATTAAACTTATTAAAAATATAAATAAATTGTCTAATAAGATACGCAACAATAATATGCTGAAATAAACTTTTCTATAGTCAAGCTCTAGTTGGACTACTAACAAACAATAATTGTATTTTTATATCGCATAAATTCTAAAAAAGCGTCTAAAAATTAAAATCTCACTCATTATTAACAGTATTGTTTTTTGTTGCAGAAAATTTACGGATGAGCTGCAAAATGGGATTGTTGAAAGTTTTCCGCGCTGAATAAAACGAGAGGAGAAAAGTGTAAGAAGAAAGTTTTGTTCGAAAGTATGTTAAAAGAACTTTTAAAGAGACAAATGATCGACGTCGCAGAAAATACATCGATAAATAATAAAATAAGTAATTCAGACTACTTATAAAATTATTTGTATTTTTGTTATCTTACTAATATAAAAAAAATGAAACTAAACGATGTCTGTACATGAGAAATATTTAAGAATAAGAAAAATTAATATGATTCTTGATAAGACCAATAGATGCCAAAACAATAACTTAAAAAAAAATATCTGTCTATACGTTTGATTCGGTATCACGAAAATGTACTGCACTTAATTGGATGAGGCTTTCACAGTAAAATTCCAGAAAGCTTTGTTAAAAATCTGTATATGTTTTATCTTAATACATCATCTAGAATTTGTTATTTTATTGGTTTTCCTACCTCTGAAATCCACGCATATGAATGGCGGACAGAAAGCTAGTACTTACTATTTATTGATGCTTAATTAATTCCTGGTCACTGTCTAATTGAAATCATAACTTAAAATATTAAACAGTATTTCATAACTCAAAAAACCAACATCAGAAGAAGATATGAAAAAATCTTGGATTTTTGACACAACACCATTAGAAACTAGCTCAAATTAAGCAAAGCTTATGAAATATTTTAACTCTAAGCCTGTAGTTGCAGAATCAACATAATAAATTTCTTTTCCCAACGTTATTTTTTACTACGTTCGTTATCCTGATTACCTCCAAACATTAACGCCAGTTAATAATTCCAATTTCGTGCTAATCAAGTGATTAATTGCGTAACAAATCAGTTTGCAGGCCGTTGACTAAATTAACGGAACTTGGAAAAAGTTCTTATTAAGTATAAGACAAACAATCGCACAAAGACCGGGCAAAGTCAATTATAGTTAGGGGAATAACATTTTTCCTAACCAATTATGTAGTTTCGAACTACAATTCGACAGCCCGTCAATTGCGGACGAAAAACCAGTAAGACAAATTAATCTGACGTTACGCATTCTTAGTAGACATATATATGTATTTCTATACATCTATATAAGCTCAGATTAGAAGCCCAATCTTGTTTAGGAGATAGTGGTAATGAATAATCGATAAAAAACTAATTTACACGACTTGTATAGTCGTGTAAATTAGTTTTTTATACAAAAATATTCTCGACTATTTATTTATTTTATTACGATAATAACAATTCAGGAATAAGATAATATTTTCCTAATTTATTAAAAAGTTTAAATTTTAGAGGAAAACTATGAAAAAAAAGTACATGATGTATTTTTTTTATACTTGAAAATTAATGGACACATTGTCTGTTCAGTTGACAATACTGTCAAAGTTGTATCGTATACAATTAGCTTTAAGATTGTAAACAATGAGAACACATCCTAATTGTCTATGTCAGTTGTCTATGTGATCTAGACTTGTTAATTTATCTAAGCAAAATACAAAAGGTTTTGGACCCAGGTAATTTTTCAAATTCTATCTACCTAATCTATTTTTACCCTACTTAGTCAATTTATACCTAAAAGAATTTTGAAATAATACAATATATCATTCATGTTGTCTTTATATAATACGTCTTTATATAATGATTCTGAAAAAAGTAGCAGTAAACAAGATAAAACCTGACAATTAAATAAAATAATTAATTGTTTAATCAATTATAAAAAAGGGAGAAAAGGTACTTAGAATAAGGCCGATAAAATCATTAATAATAATAACATTTTTAGTAATTAATTAAATAACTTATCAATTTAAATAGTTTAGGATATTATACAGAAGTCAAATATCTCATAATTTTTTTATATCGCAAAGATAGCAAACAAGCATACAGCCCGTCTGATGGTAAACAATTACTGCAATACTATGGATGTCTCGTATACGTTACCATTGGGCCATAACTTATAGTATCAAATTAACAATATTAATAAGCATATTCATAATCTCATAATTTGTTTACATATTTATTAAAGTGAATATTTTTAATTATTGAACGTTAAAATTTAACGACTTTTCCTTCTTCTTATTTAATAAAGCCGTCTGATCATAAAACAGTTTTAAAAGCTGCATCCACCTATAAAAAATTTTAGACATTAATTCCTGTATATACCTATGTAGAGAAAACAAAAAACAAAATTTCCACTTTTATGAATCGTTTGCACTACGAACTGAAAGTCGGAAAAAACTTAGTGAACCATAAAAACTTGGATGAAGTTAATAAAATAATCTTCGAATAGTGATGCGATGAATCGTTTTCGTCAAAATACTCGAACTGGAGAGAGGAAAATCCATTTGAGAAGCTCAAGTTTCAGAAAGCATTTAAACTTATATTTTTCACCGTCCGAACGGTTTCGAAGATTTTGTTGCTCTTTTAACAAATAGTACTATTCTTGGAGGACAAAATGTAACAAGAATTTCATTTATCGTAGTCGTTTTATAGAAGATACTCGTTAAAAAGTATTTATTAACAATTTGGCATAACAAAAATGTGTTTACCCACTTGATAAAAAGTGGCTACCGTTTTTTATAGATATTAATAATGATCACCACTAGAGACATCATGGAATACCCCGAAAAGTAAAAAAAAATGACGTAACTATAGCTGCCTAGAGATATAAAAGTAAGACAGAGATAACTTTAGAGTTCACGATTTTTGTACACCATTCTTGTAACGACCAGTTATTTTTCAAATAATGAGAAAGGACTTTTAGTTACGATTTTATCGGGACTGATTAAGTATCCAGTCGATTATTTTAATATAATATACGACAAACTTTTTTTAATTTTACGCTAATAGTCTCAACTGACGTCAATTTACTTTGTGAAAAAAAAAATATTTTATTACTTTAATGTTCATGTACTTTTTCATAGATTTTAGTAAGTAACTCGTTATCTATTTAATTGTTTTACTTATATTATCTCCAGTAAATAATAAAATCAACTAATCGATTAAATCTAATCACATCACTAAAACCAAGTGGGGCTCTCAATGAATTTCATAGCGGGCAGGTATTAAATCTCGTATATTCACAAGAAAACTTAAATAATACGAAGATTACTTTGAAATTTGATTCAAACTGACAACAGGGGAATATTAAAATATCAATTTTATGCTTTAACATCCAACGAAGTTTCCAGTCGCAGTCTTTACGTTGAAAGTTTGATAACTTTGAAAATTCTCGGGTTATTGTATTCAGGCGGAGTGGACTACAGAGGTGTCATTAGAAATTTCAAACAAGGGTTAATAATTAATTAAAACATTAAATGGTTATACATATTTTCTAAGTCATTAACGAGGCACGACGGGGACAGCGACGAAGAAAGATTTATGAAAACTAAAGAAACTATATATTTATCAAAAGCCATTTATCTGCGACTATTCACGTTGTCTCTAAGACATTACTTTAAGGGTCTATCTCTTAGCAGCTTTTGTAAATGCACATTGTATATTAATATTCTACATGAATGTTTTTATTTTGTACGCAATAATCTGTTGTTTTGTGATGTACCTATTTCCATTATGGAGTAAACAGAGAAGATCGGGGCAAGAAAACTTCATTCTTATACATATTTAACAAAGTAAAAGTAACTTTACAAGCTAATAAATATTCGTTTATGCTTGAACAATTTCTTAATAGAATTGCTATACTGATAGATGGATTTTTTTATAACTTGCTTTAAGATTTTACTATGCAAAAACTTTAAGTTTTAAAACGTCAGTATAAAGTATTTTATTAATTAATATATAATATAACTCAAAAGTGAGCCCCATTGATTGTAGGAATAATTATCGAAATCAATTCCAAATTTGCGAACATATTGAATAACATACAAAAAAATTTTGAACCTTTATAGTTTTATGTACTTGTATGACCTTTACCGCGAATTCACCGCACATAAAAAGAGGAAAGGTCAGTAAATAATTGAAGATTCACTATTTGCTTATTCATGTCTTAATTCATGGACGAACTTAGACTTAATCCTTAGATTTGAATAATATAACGCTTGTGGTTTTAATTCAAACTTGGTTAAAATTGACCCTCCCATAATTCCTAACCGCTTATATTACAAGAAGATGGAAGGTATCGTATCGTATATATATTATATATTGGGATATTTTGTTGCTATTTCACAATGTATCATTATCATCATAATATTCTCAAAAATGAAGACCTTACTTTACCAGAGGGAGACTTTGTACAAAAGTCGATTGCAGAGGTACCCACCTCTGTCCCATTCGTGTTTCTACCGTGAAGCAGTTGTGTTTGCATGACTGTGTTTCGGTTTGAAGGGTGGGATATGGCGTGAATTTACAGGGTACAGAGGAATAACACCTGAATCCTCAGGAATGGCAACGCATGGGGGGTATCATGGGCGAAACAGTATGTGTGTGTACTGTTATGTCCATGGTACTGCTCATGTCTATAGGCGACGGTTACCACTTTCTATCAGGTGGGCCGTCAGCTTGTTTGCCATTCTGTCGTATAAAAAAAAACCTTACTTCATTTTTGAGTATATTATGATGATGATCATAATGAATGATGTATAGAAATAATCTATAACGAATACAAAGAAGTAAAAGCGATTAAAAACAGAACTTAAAAACAGAGCAAGTTTCACCTAATATATAGGTATGTTATCTATTTAAAACAGCCGATGACTTTTTTATAGAATATACTAAACCCAAAATATTAGTGGTAGTATATCATCATCATCATTCCAGCCATTATCCGTTCACTTCTGGACATAAACCACCCCCATAGACTGCTATATAGAACGGTCCTGAGCCAACTACATTCACTACAATGCAATAAAAAGGAATAAACTCTTTTTTTGAAGGTTACTATCCCTATTGTTTTCTCCATGCCGTATACTCGTAGTACTTGTTTACGAAATTTTATAGTGACTTGTCACTCACTTAATACGTAACGAAATAACAAACAAACTCACTTTTACACTTATACTATTAGTAAAGATTTGCGTGAAACATTAAAACCCTCAGAAATTACAATGCATATGGATATTTAAATTACATTCAATGGACGTCATCGCCAGTTCGCCGCTTGACATCCACAAATCCTCTACGACCTATTGTTCTGAGCCTCTCCAAATTATGCTAGAATATGAATGCATTTCATGTGAATGAAAGGATATAGAACTTTTTATACGAAATATTTTTATTTAAAAATGTCAAACAACTTCAAAAAGAAGAATGTTTTCAATTCGATTATATTTTTTTATGTTTATTTCCTCATAGCTTCGTCAAGTGTAAACCGATTTGAGAAAATCTTTTTTATATAATAAAATATACTTACAAATAGGTCTTATAGAAATTTTATCATAATTGATTCAGCAGTTTAGTTTTAAAATCAAAATGAATAAAATTGCCACAATGCCACAATACAGTAACCGTTTTTTATCAGACTATATGATTCTTATATATATTCTTTATTGCACTTTAACAATACATACGACGATTAGTTTAACAACTTATTAGCAAGGGAGGACTTATCTCTGAAAGAGATCTCTTCCAGCCAACCCAGTGAAGTTAGAGAGAAAATAATTTAATTTGGGTAATCTTTGCCACTTTCGTAGTATAAAAAAAAATTAAAAATCTTTTTTTTATGATACTCAATCTTAACTTAGAACTCTTGGCAATTTCCTATAGGCCTACACTAAAATATCACATATCTAACTTCTAAACTGACGAAATTCTATACAAAAATTCAATTTCCATTTTACCCCCTTAGGGACTGAATTTTCATAATTCCGTTATCACATATGTTATAAAAAGATCTTATCTGCAAAATTTCAAGGTTCAAGATTCAGCGACCTTGACTGTGGCTCGGCTCGTATCTAAAAAAATAGTTCTCCAAATCAGTTAATAAATGACGGCATTATAAGTTAAAAAATATAAAAAAAATTCAATCGAAGTAAGACTATTCCTTTTTTAAAAGTCGGTTGTTAAAATCGTTTACATAAATTCACATAAGCAGGCTGGTAATAGTATACCAATACGTATCTCATACGTGGAGAGACTCATACTCAGACAGTATTCAGTATTATAGTATTTTTATTTAATTATTTTTAGTAATAGTCTTATAAATGTCGAAGTGAGTTTGTTTGTCTATTTGTTACCTCTTTGCACATTAACGGCTTACCAATCGTCTTGAAATTTACTATACACATAGTATTTTTTATGGAGAAGAACATCGGCTACTTTTTGTCCCGGATAATCAAATAGCCAGACGAAGACGGAAAATTACTAAAATAACTGTGAGTATGGATTGTTATTATATTTGACTATTCTTAAATAAATAAAATAAAAATATTTTTTATTCAAATAAACATAATTATAAGTATTTCTTAATTGTCTTTATTTTATGAATGTTCTGCCTAGTTCGAAATGCAATTTCAGCTGAGAAGGGACAAATTTAAATAAACAGCTACCTGCACAATTATATAAAGCTTAATAATACAAAGATATACGTTAATGTTTGATAAATTAACTATGTTTGATAAAGTTTGAATCATCAGCACAGTCAGCCGGTTTACGGGCCAAAGCCGATTCCAACTATAAATTGTAAGCTCAGTTCGTAAGCCCGAGTTGGTTCCTCTCACGTCATCGTTTTGTATAACTTTCCAAACGATTTTAACGTAACGTACTGTTAGTTAACAATTTTATGAACTCCGTATTAGTTTTTCGTTTTCGAAACGTAATTGCAATTAGTTAGCTTTGGAATTAAAAATATAAGTGAAATAGAAATTATTATTCTACCAGTATTTCTAGAAACAGTTTCTTTTTTATTTCTAAAAATATTCATACTTCATTATTCATTCATTCGTATCGTATTCATTCATTCATTCACACTCATAAAACTGAACATTTTTCTCAAAGAAACATGAATGAAAAAATGAGAAACCCAAAAATTTCGTACTATCTATCTATAGTACGAAATTTTTGGGTTTCTCATTTTTTACAATACAATCAATTGTTAAATTAGTATCTGCTTACTTCCCATTCTAGAATTAATCTTGACAACTTGTTTTTTTTTTCAATATCTATTGGTTTGGATAAAATGTTTTAATATTTGTATTAATATACTAAAACGGAAGAGATTATTTATCTATACTAATTCATGAAATTATCAGTGGATTTGAAAAATTCATTTTGCATTTGATAGCTCATTTTTTAAGGAATATTATATATTTTACCATAGAGAGACTTTGTACAAAAGTCGATAGCTTAACCACCTCTGTCCCATTCGTGTTTCAACCGTAAAGCAGTTGTGTTTACATAGCTGTGTTTCGGTTTGAAGGGTGGGATATGGCGTGAATTTACTGGGTACGGAGGAATAACACCTGAGTCCTCAGGAATGGCAACGCATGGGGGTATCATGGGCGAAACAGTATACTCTGTCATGTCCATGGTACTGCTCATGTCTATAGGCGACGGTTACCACTTTCCATCAGGTGAGCCGTCAGCTTGTTTGCCATTCTAAGTTGTATAAAAAAAAGATAGGGTATTTAATCCACATTAAAATACAACTGCCGGAATACCTCTAATATTTTATGTAATACATTTCTCGGCGTATTGTTATACTACTGTGAATGCTGATGTCTTAAAATAATTTAATTACAGTCTTCCAAGAATTTATTGATATGACGTAATTAAATAGACATACTATATACGTGTTATACCTATTAAGTATGTGAACTTTTTGCCTCTGTAATTTTAATTACTCGATTATATAAAACAAAACGACATACACGTACGTCGTACACGTATGCACACACATACTCCTAATGTGTATTCTGTGATATCCATTGTATTATTAATGTCTTTAGGCAACGTTGCCAGATTGGGTATTTTTTCGCAATTATGGGTAAAAACTAACGAATGAGGAAGTCCTGAAATGCGTGAACGAGAAAAGAACATTAATTAAAATAATAAAGAATAGAAGAGGCAAAATGCTGGGCCACCTTATACGACATGAAACACTAGGTGTTATGTTGTATAGGGAGGTCAAGGATATGGCTTGGGATAGAACTGGCTGGAATAAGATGCATGAATTAGTTGTATTGACAAGAGGAAACTCTTAAATGAAAAGAGAAGACATGGGTAAAAAAATTTTTGTTCACGAAATAATGTAAATATATATTTATATATATATATATATATATATATATATATATATATATATATATATATATATATATATATATTACTTTTTGAAAAATTATGACTTTATAAAATAAACAGAGGTATATAAGTAGATAAAATATATAAACGAAGGTAGCGAAACAGAATGGGATAGATAGGTAGAGAATAAAATAAATTAAAAGTAGCAAAGTTTTATATTTTTTCATCGTTCACTTTGTGCTATATGGCAACACGTAGTGAAAAACGACACATGTTTGTGATTAGCTAAAATTCCTAGAATTCGTATCGATTTGGTGAAAAAATATTTAACAATCAGGCAAAAATTTAAAATCATATCTGGCAGCCTTTTTTCTTAGTAACGGTCACTTACTTCATCACTTACCATCTGTTGTTACTTTATGTTGAGGTCAGTTTTTACATACTCCATAAAACTATACTTTTTTATGGAGTATGTATTGTAATGTCATCTTAGTGTTTCACGTGTAAATTGTAATACACCGGATAACTAAGTTCCAAGTGTCGTGATCAAATTTGAATCTTTCATCAAAACCAATTAAAATTCAAACATTCAATTACTACTCTAAACGAAAGCGACGATTCATAAAACGTGTCATTGTTTATAAATTTTCAATGAAATCCGCGAGACTGTTTTGTATTATATACTTTAATGAAAAGGAAAGTAACGTTATATAGCAACAGATTTGGATTTAATTCCTAAGGCTATTTTAATCTAAATTTCGATTCTGATTCCTCTGTAGACGACCAAAATCTATGCTTATAAATATTTTGTACGTATTGTTCACTAACCTTAGGAGCTGAATATAAGATTTACTGAAGTTTATTAAATAAAAATAACTTATATTTAAATTGTTGTCAATTTAAAATTTATTATTCTGACAATAAAATTTTATACATATTTAATAAGACAAAACATTATGTCATCACTGCGGTGTAACACTGCAAGGTTCCTTGGCTGAAAATAAAAAAAAAATAAGATTTTTTTACATTAATGATTCAGTTTATTTTATCCATTCATCCAACCATCACGAAAGCATCATACAATAAATGTATGTATTTAGTATCATCATGATAACCATTAATTATCTGTTACAAGGTATAAGCCTCCCCATCTAAGCCTGGACTACTATCATTGTTTTCAGGGCTGTGTTTATGTTTGAAACATCCTTATAGCATTAAATTACAATATACAGGTACAACCCTGAAACCTTGGGGGGAAAGAGATTGTTAGTAACTGAGAATATACCCAACCAGGTCGACTTCCTCGCGGTTCCCCCTGGAAACTACCATGGGTAATTCCTGATGAATTCATCATGATGGACTAACTGGCCTGTTTTCATTCTCATCTATTACCCTTCACTGGTGCTCTGCCAGCGTACCCCGTTAGCGCAGGCGGAGTTACCATTCCATTTTCACCCATAAAAAAAAACCCTGAAACCTTAGTCCTCGTGAATGACGACAAGTCATGCAATGACCCGTGGTTATTACCGTGAAATAAATGTCTATGGCGCTGGGCATGTCTATAGGTGCAGTTATCACATTCCATCACTTCGCTTAGTATTTCAAGTTGCATAAAAATAATATTCGTACAAATCTCTTGTTTTATCCTATAACCGCAACAATAAAATCGAAATTTGACTGTAATAATATTATGAGTACGCGCACATACCCATATTCCATATTGGAAAATAGTCAATAACAGTTTTGGAGGATAAAGAAAGGCTAATATTGTTTAAAATATACAAAAAGTGGAGTGAAGGGATTGTTAGTAATAGGAGCTAGCAACCCCATTGCTTGTAATATACCCCGTCAGGACGATTTGCATTCGGTTCCTTTGGAAATAATCGTGATTAATTTGTGGTGAACTAATTTCACCTGTCATCACTCACTGGTGCCCCGTCAGCATATACTAATAGCGCAGACAACGTTGCTATTAAATATTTATCATTTAAAAAAAATTAAGAAAATTTTATATATACTTACGACACTCTTGCGCAGGAATACAAATATCATTCTCATTTCTAAAATGATTCTTTATACAAGTGCATCGAGGTTGACAATTCAGAAGCAACGTGTTACAGACAACTGGTTCCTTAAATGCACTATCGCAGTACTCGCCCAAACAATCCGAAGGACAAGGGTTCCATTCTTCGTTAGGTCTTGTACAGTTAACGGGAGCTAAGGAAATGAAAATAATTAAATTATAGAAGTGTCATCATCCTTCCAAACTCCTTCTATTATTTAGGGTCAGTAAGGCATATATGTATACTGTAAAAAATGCTCACACATAGGAATAAATAAATATTCTTTACTGTGAAATGCATAGAGCTGTTTATGTATATAGACGACTTATCAATTTCTGCCAGGTGCTCAATCTATTTATCATACCATGCTTTGAAAAAAAAATTATAAAAAAGCTCACGAATAATAACAGAAAAATTATTTGAGTTATTTTCTCATGTTATGCTGTTATATTTAATAAATTTTACCCAAATTTCATCGAAAACAGTTTATTATGGTATTTCTTCGCTTCCTAATATTTATGGATTATATTGTCCCTGTACTCATTAGATGTCTACTTTTTTACGTTTTTTACAATGTGTACTTTTAAAAAAAATTTATGTCAAATAACACCATTAATAAAGAGAATTTCGTAGATTTATTAAGATTCGTTTTAATAATATTAAGTTACGTAAACTTTATTGTAATGTAATAACCATCAAAAATTTATACGATTGTCGATTTATTGAAGACTTTATTACATCCACTTATTAATTTGTGTTAATTATTAATTTTATTAATTTTGTGTACCCATGTATAATCTTAAAGATTATAACAAAAACCAATAATCGAGTTCTAAAAAACAAAGTAACTTACGACAATCTGAAGACACAATGCATCGGTCATCTTCATGGCTCAGCTTTTTGTGGTTCAAATTGCACACACAACCGGAATAACAAGGTGAGAAAGGGAATGTTTCACAAATAACTATACCGCGGCTATCATCCACTGGACAATAATCGGTTGGACAACCATTTCTGCAAGTGACGAATCTCTCATTCTTCCTGCATGGATTACCACCTGGAATAATGACAATGCTCTTAAAAATATTTATGTACGAGTATGTTTTAAAGAAAAAATCAAACCAACCAATCAAACCTAGGAACCAATTAATAATGCCATTAAAAAATAGAATAATGCGTAAGAATACTAAAAGAAAATGATATTGATATTTTATTCTCATGATAGGGACCCGCTATACATATCGTATCATGCGACTAAGCTTAAAAAACAATAAGCAAGGCCGGGTGGACTGCAGGTATCAAAAATAGGTGGTTCCAATGTCGACCAGGTCGAATTTTACGCTGTGTTGGGAACCACAATGGTGGTTAATTCCTAATAAATTCACAAGATACGCCAAATGATCTGACTAACTTTATCCCCATCTATCAATGCTTCACTACTTACCCGATAGCGTATATCATTAGCACAGCCAAGATTACCATTCCATTATCACCGATAAAAAATATAGCAGTAAGTAGTTAATTTTAAACTTTCTCGTCGTTGGCAAATATTTTAAATACACTATTAAGACTTAATACGATGATAATTTTGTTTTTTGCAGGTAGATAGTACCATATACCTGCTTTTTTATTGCCCACATTTCGATGTGGTGCTATGAACATATTTAATACAGAATAAAAGTGAGCGGCGTCTTCGTCTGGCAGCTCCCATAGTCTATTCGGGCTACTACTTTTCTTAAAAGAGCTCTATGCTCAACAGGGAGGTATGAATGGTTTAATATAATTCTGTATACATACCTTTACATTCCTCAGGTAGTATACACTTTCCATTTACTGAAGAGAGAATGTAACCGGGTGCACACTGGCAACCAACCGGCTCGCAACGTATTTTGCATGGCAGTGAGTTTGGATGAGAACAGGTTGATGGGCATGGTGAAGGGCATGCCTTAACAACTGCATTTGGATCATCGTTACATCCCAAATTCTCTAAAAAATAAATTAGGTTTTCATTTATTCAATATTTTTATTTTAATATGGCATTGTGAATTATCAAAGGCTTTTTTTGAAAAATGAAACATAAATTTGCTCACTGATGAAATGATATCACAACCATTCTCGAGTTACCGATATGATGAGTATACGTAATTCGACATACTCTAAGTTAAACAAAGCTATATTGGCGATCAAATTCAAACTCACAAACACTGCAGTTTCATTTTTGGTACCAATAACCTTTAAGTTTTTCAAGTTATTATTACTATTTACTTTATACTTACGGGGGCAATCTTCTATTTTAATACACTCTCCTCCTTCCCTTGATAAAATATAACCGGTATCACATGTACTACTTTGTTTCGATGGACAGTTTCGTGGATTTGGCACAGCACAAGTTGGAGTGCATCTATCATAGGTCGGTTGTATTACAACTATAAAATTAAATACAATTATAAATATCAGAAAAATATAGAAAATTATAGAACAATGGGTTAATTCACTCAAACTTATTTCATCAAACTGATTGTATACCACAACAGTATTGGTATTCTATTAGGCTTGTATAACAGACTTTAGCACAAGGAAAAAGCTAGGCAAGCCAATAAAATAAAACTATTTAACCTAGAATATGTAAACAAAATATTAATATAATACGAGTATATGTATGTATTTATGGATGTATTATTAAGTTTAAATCAATTACTAATTTTATTTGTGTAGATATTGTTAGTCTTTATAACCCCATATCATTTTTGAAACAATAAATAGTTTTATTTCATTTATTAATTAATGTATATATTGAATTGAATCATTGAAATAAAACAAATTTCACTACACAGATATTTAGCTAACATAAACTAAAAGTATTACAGAGTTGTTCTTATCAACAATGCTTTGGTACATCAACTTTTTGTACTATTTTCTAGATAAATACACTCATTATTGGTCTCCACTGCAGCACAATCAGCGAAAACGAATCATTAGTCTAAGATATTAAATAACAAGTTGACGATACCTTTGCATTCAGCGGCAAGCACACAAACGTCATCTTTGTTTCGAAAGTAATTTTTCTCGCACACACATTTAGGTTGACAATCGTTTTCCGTTGTTTCACATGTACTAGGTGGGTTATCAATGTCTTCACATTTTTCAGCAAGCAAATATGGAGCGCAAGATTCCCATACTTCATTAGGTCTAGTACATGATACTGGAGCTAAAAACATAGTTTTAAATATTTTTATAATACAATCCGATTAAAAAGGCTTTGTCGAAAGTGTAAAAAAATTTAGGTCTTCAATCAAACATAGTTCTTCACTATGTCAGATAATTATATTTTGAGGACTATTAAAATTTTGACATTTCCAATAAATATTAGAGTAAAGTTAAAAAACTTACGACAGTCAGAAGCTAAAACACAGGTGTCGTCATCATTGCTCTTTCTCTTATAGCCGGGTTTACAGGCACATCCAGGCGGACATGGTCGCCCTGGTTTGCAAACAATCTCTACACGGTTGTCATTTTCTGGACAGTATTGGTTTGGGCAACGAAATGCACAATCTACGTAAGTTTCATTGACGCCACATCCTACACCAAGAACAAGAACAAAATATTCGAAAATTTTCAATTTTTAAGTCGCAAGTAATAAATAGTTAATTCAATTACAACATGTTATAAACAAATAATTTATGTAATTTGTTATTTTGTCACTCGTCTTTATTTAATGACAATAATTGCCTATTATGATTTATACATAACAAATCTATTTTAAATCTTGTATCCAATTTGGTACGTAGAGCCAATACCGAATGTGTCTATTTATTTTTTGGTTTAATTACTGGATTAGAATTATTTTGTATAATTCTACTACCATTAGTATGCGTGTTACTACCTACACCTGATTACTAGATACTATGACCTTCCGTATTAGTCATCAACGTCTGACCGTTAAATCTATACTCGTGTTGAGTCACGTGCTTTACGAATAAACGAGGCAACGTTAACAATAGAGTGATATATACAATTAAAATCCTAAACAGATCACAGTATAGCTTGAAGTATTAAAGTTAAGTTAAAAAAAAACTGCGCCATTAAGTATTCATCTCACCATTCCAATCACGTGATGGACACTCAGTACTAGGTATGCAAGTTCCATTGGCATCTCGAAGATAATTCTCAATACAGTTGCATCCCGACTCACAGCCTCCATTATAACATAAATATTCCGTATAGAGGCTCTCACAAGACTGCGGTGGACAGACTATCTTGCAATCACTGAATTCTTCATTTATACCGCATTCAGGGGTTGTTGAACCTAAAAAGTTAAGGGCTAATATTGAAAACAAAAATTTTATAAAGGATTGAAACAATTGAACTTTAAGAATTGTTTTAAAATTTACAGAACTTGTATTATTCATATTAGAGTATCTAATATATAGCTGAACAAAATTCACTGTAGTCTATTTTCTGCTGTTATATTCTAGAAATTTATAAAAAGTGATGACTTTAATTTCAGATTACCTCAAGTATTTTATAATTATAATTAAACTTTTGTTAAAATGGTTGAAATAACTGAATGAGTAGGATAGCCATGGGCAGGATTAAAAAGAAGGGGTACAAAGGTACTGACTTTATAATTTTATTTAAAAAGTTTATAATTTTTCTTAAATTTCTCTTTTGTAAATCGAATATCTAATAACATATTTACCGGTTGGACATTGTTCATTAGGTACACAAACACCATCAGCATTTCTTAGATATCCATCGATGCAATTACAACCTTCCTCGCAAGGACGATCTTCACACAGGTATGTTGAGTAAATACTTTCGCAACTTTGCGGTGGACAAACTATTTTACAGTCACTTAATTCTTCGTTAGGACCACACACAGGATTAATAGGTCCTATAAAAAAAAAATATATATAAAATCTAACAACATTTATTTTTTTTTCAGAAATTGTAATTATAATCAATTAATTGACTGGTAATTCAATAAAGCAGTTGGTCTATTTTGCAGCTATTCGGCGGAAAATTTTTTTGTAATTGCTTGATTCTTTGAATACATGTTTTTATTCAAAATACTAAGTGTGGAGGTAATAGTCTTTAATCAATATGTCTTGCCAGTGATCGATTACGGAACCAAAATAAAAAGAACCAGGTGTCGCTAAAAAAATAAAAATACTGCTTGCTAACCTTATGTAAAATAACTCAGTGATCTATATAGAAGCTATAACTGGAGTTTCGTTGCATTATGGAGTCCAAAAAGAGTTTTCTGATGATATATTATCAGAAAACTTAAAAAACCAAAGTGATTGATATAGCCCAAAGGATAACTAAGCTAAAGTGGACTTGAGCCAACAATATACAAGTAAAAGAATTCGAGTGATAGAGAGTTCGAAGAACCAACAACTGATGGGAAGGAAAGGTTTCCAGTAGCCAAGTTGTAGCAAATGTAGTGCAGGACGACGACGAGAAATTGTGAATGATGTGTATGATGCAGTTTATCAATTGTGTTTGCAGTAAGTCAATTTAGCCAGGTAGATCAGTATCATACTATTTAGGAGTTTATGAGAAAGACCTATTAAACAGTAAAAAATAACGATTAAAATATCGTTGGTTACATATTGATGTATAACATTTTGCTAGAGATTTATCATGGCAAATGTTATATTTTTTTAATATTACTTGCCTAAAATCTAACTGCGATTGCCAATCTGCTTGCCAAGCGTGGCAACTACTGCAAGAACTCCCTAATAGGGGAGACCTATATTCAGCAGTGGACAGTTAAGGGCTCATATGATAATGATGTTGCCTTACCTAAAGGACATTCTTCATTTGGAATACATGTACCATTAGCATCTCTAAGGTAGCCATTTATACAATTGCACCCTTTTTCGCAAGGTAGATCTTCACACATATAGGTAGTGTAAATACTTTCACAGCTTTGCGGTGGGCAGACTATCTTGCAATTAGATGATACTTCATTTAGACCACATTTCGGTGTTACTATATAAAAAAAAAAAACAGGAAATATTAAATATTTACTTAGATAAAGATAACTTTTAAAAATGTAGGTAATAGAGGCGTTATATGTAAGTATAATAATGAAGAAATAATACATAATTTCGCTGGTGATTGTAAAGAATAGAAAGTATTAGTTGGGAAAAATACAGGATTGTCACACACATGTCAATCAATGTAATCCCTTTTCCGAAATCTTTTGCGTCAATATCAAGAAATTTCAAACAGTAATATTATAATATCTACTTTAACTTTTTTCCTTCCTTCGTATTCTCCAATCAATCGAATTTACTTTGATCGCTTAGTATTGCTATCAAATAATGATAGACTCAACAGCTTATGTACATCTTTTCCAAATTTTTTTTTGTTTAATCAGAATTTTCTTATCTTTGTTTTGATATTATCTTACATTATAGAGGCACATTTGTACCTCTAATACAGACAATATTTTTTTCTCTAATTTTTTTTAATCTGAAACGAAGATATTCGCAAAAGAACCAAAGTAACCGACATAGATCGAAGGATAATAAAACTAAAGTGGTAATGGGCAGATCACATAACTCGAAGAACCGACAACCAATGAGGAAAAAAGGTTCTTGAGTGGCGACCTTCTATTGATAAACGTAGTATAGGAAGACCCTATACTAGATGGAGTGATGACCTCAAATGCATTGCAAGGAGACAGTGGATGCAGGTGGCTCCGGACCATTCCTTATGGCGGTCTATGTGGGAGGCCTATGTTCAGCAGTGGACAGATAATGGCTGAAATGATGATGATGACTAAAATTTAAAAACTATTAACTAAACTATTATCTCTGATGCATGACGCATTGTAAATACGCTTATACAATTTTCTTTAAAACAGGTGTTCAAATATTTTTTCACAGAAGTGACGCACGTATTGATATAACACTTTTTTTATCATATGCCATACAATTAAAAAACGCTTTTGTAAAGAACAAAAGTAATTATTCATTTGCTCAAACAGCAACATTTTTGAAAAAAATTAAATTATCTTTTTTAATAATTACTATGTGTGAAATGGAAATTGTGATAATATATTTAAATATTTAAAAAGTGAAGGAAGGAATTAGGGGCTATTTTTTATTTCAGTTAGTGTATGTTATACTACCTGTAACTTGTGACTTCACTTGCGTGAATCAATACATAAAGTATCCTATGTACTAAGTTGGGATATAGGTAGGTATCTATGTACCAAATTTAATTCAAATTCGTTCAATAGTTTTTGCATAAAAGAGTAACCAACCTTCATCCCATCATAATGTGATATCTATCTTTGTAAATTTTTACATTTATAATACTAAATAGCAACATACTCCAGCTTCGCACAGGTGCAATATTTGTTTATAACTTTTAAAATGTTCATAATATTTTAGTAAAGTCGATATTTTGACGTATGTGGAAGTACCACACTAATATATTCTAAGATTTTTAAATGAACAGCCTATTTAATAATTTGATGTGCATGCGTTTATACAGTTTATCCTGCGCCCCTCACATCTGCGTTCCACCTACTATTCTCGAAAAAATTTTATCGACTTATTGTTTTTATTTCATATTATCTTTTAATAAACTGCATCAATTAACATGCTGTAGAAAGTAAACTCTATCTCTATGAAATTTTGATTTTGATTTAGCTATTTGTTTTAATAAGGATTTCTAAGTTATACATGAAACCATGTATCTTGTTAACTTTAGTTATTTTGAACATAAAATCCATCTTTTTGCCTGAGATATATGGTGCCCCGGAATTTTTTTGTAAAGCTTAAAAAATGGTGAAAATTTTTATTATTGATTTTATTCCTTTATTTCAAAGGGTTCAGGCAGCTCATGTCATATTATAGAATGTTTGTCGACATCAATAACATTTATTGTGATTAATTATTGAAAACACATATTTATCGAAATAAAAAGTAGCCTTTACTTAATATATATTATTATAACAGAGACAAACCTTTTTGAAAAAAATTTAAAAATCGGATTAGTAGCATCGGAGATTATTCTCCGAACATTAAAATTTACAAATTTACGTCTTTATAATTTTAGTATAGATAAGATGTTATGTAATTATTTTCATGCAATAAACCGCTTTCGAATATCTCTGCACTTCACAAATATTAGAAAAAAAAATCTCCTTGAGAAAAATTGCCTTTTTATTTAATTATTGATTAGTAAAAGATGGTACACCTAAAGGCCTAACTGCGGTTGCAAACCCACTTGCCAAACATAGCAACTACTGACAAAGCTTCCTCTTCTTCTGAGGGAGACCTGTTCAGCAGAGGACAGTTATTTATTTATCTCTTACTTGCACCAGGAACATAAAAATAAACAATGACATATAAACAATTTAAATGAAATACAGTAGCATAAAGTACAGTACAGTTAACAGCTGATGATAAAATAAATAATACATACCTGGCTTTGGTTTACATCTTGGAGATATATTACTCACCCCGTCGACCCCGAGAAAAGTCAAAATACTTAAAAACAACAAAAACCACATAGCGATTTCTGTTACAATGAATATATTGAGTAAAAATTGTTCTTATAAACGTCAACCGTGTTTATAAAGGAATAAATCATAAAGGATGTCAAACACAACGCTAAGTATGTTGAATTTAATTTAATGTAATGTATTAATTACCATTTAAATGAACAGAAGTAAAAAGGTGTTTTATCGGTCACAGAGTTGGATTTAGTTAAATATAAAAATTTTTGAGTTATTGCATACTCGAGCGGCAACTTTATTTGACTAAGTCGTTACTTCTTTTATTAATCAACTAACTTTACCTACAATAACTTTATCGTGACTAATATATAAATTTATATATATCTACCTACTGTTAATTAAAAAGTAATTTGCTTTGAAATTTGAAAACCTCTTAGTTCAAAAATTCGAAAATACATACTAGATTTTTTTATAAAATTGTTTCAGTTATTTAAGAAAAAATAAATAATCAAATATAAGGAATGCACATGTTTTGTTGACATGAGTATTTTTTTTATTAGTTACACAGTGTAGTACCAAAAGTTGCCCTGCCCAAAGGTTGTCTTGCTTTAGCGATAAGACCGCCTTTTGTACTTCTTAAGTGTAATATACATATATATACTAAATATTTTTGTATTATTCTTTGAGTGGTGCAATAAAAAGTAAATGAATAAATAAACTTCTAGTTCATCGTAAAATTTTTAAATAAAATAAATTAAAAAGGAAAATTTTTAACATCATATTTTACATATGACCTTGAATTTTATACTCACAAATTCACAAAACATTTCGATACCGCTACCATAGTAGAGTAGTACAATAAATAGTATAGTAAAATACTTGCTTCAAAAGTTTTAAGTTATTTTTTGACGACAGGACTAATTCCGTACCTGTGCGAGCTAAAAAACTAAAAAGTTGTTTACCGTCGATGCTGGCAAGTGTGAGTTGTGCTTACGTAGGAAGGATCTGTCACTGTATAAAATAAAAATTAAATATATGACACACACAAAAAAAAACCTACAAATAACTATGCCTTTGTATCTTTGAAGAATGTACTTATAGAATTTTTGTTTTTTATCAAGAAATTTCGTTTAAATTTCTTTATAAAACAATCATTATATACTATTTAGATATATCGATAGATGACAGGTTAAGTTTCAAAGGTATAATTTAGATACTATATAAACAAATCGGAAAATAAATTATATGACCTTTATTGAATTTATTGACTTCAAATATATATATAATATATATTAAAATTCTATAATATAAAATTAATTATTCGTGCTGCACGAGAAGTACTTAACGGGGATCATAAAAACTTGTAGATAGTATAAAAATAAAAACCAAATAATAGCTTAGTTTTATGTTACGAATTATTATGAAAAAAATATTAACTGGAAAGATTGTATTCACTACTAGCTATTTTTCGCGGCTTAGCCCGCAAGAATATAATACAATAAATGATAAGTTATCCTAACTTATCACATATCCATTTAGGAAATTTCGTTCAAATGCGTTCAGTAGTTTTTGCATCAAAGAGTAACAAACGTCCATTCATTCGACCATTCTTACAAACTTTCAAATTTATAATATTAATACAAATAAATAGGTAAAAGTACAAAATCAAAAAGTACAACATTGCTAGCATAAATTTGAATGTCCCTGGCCATGATATTTGCAGCATTTTAAAACTTTCTTAACGTAAATTGATATACAAAATAAACCTAAGCAAGTCAAGCACATAAGACTGCATGTGATTCCAATACGTATCGCATTTTTTTATAATAAAAAACTGTCAGTGTGTATGATAATACAGCTTAAAAAATCCAATTTGTGAGGTAACAATTTGTCAAGTAACCTAAATAAATAAATTAAAGTTAATTAAAGTGCCCACCTAATTACACCAAATGCCAGACTCTAAAGCTAGGATATCTTATATTATGAGAAACCAGAGAACTAACATTTAAAGGAACTACCTAGAACACCTAGACCCAAGCTAAGAAAGTTTATTTCATAAACTAGCTTGACAAAGCGTCGAACTCGAAGTCCCCGATTTATATTATTAACTAAGATTCTCGTCACTTTAATAACACTATCGTTAGCCTCAAACATGTTCTTTATCATATTAACTTGTAGACTTTCGCGTTGCATAGTTTATAATTTATAAGGGACGAGAAATAACGATCAGATATAAATAACAATAGATGATTAGATAAACTTCAAAGGGTGCATAAAAAACTTCTGCAAAAAACAGAGGCATGACAGCGCTACATTAGTCTACTAGTAACCATGTCTAATATGACAATAATCATAGTTTACCTAAATAGGCAGCAGCGTCCCTCTTAACACATCAACCAACCCGCTTGCCAAGCGTGGCAACAAACCCCCCAAAGATCAGTCTATGGGGGAGGGGGAGGTACAATTAACGACTGATATCATGACCTAAATAATCGCGTTAATTCTCGTCTTTTATAAATCATAAATTCTTTACCATACAATTTATCTTACATATACATATATATTAGTCTTCCCCATAAAGGGAGTTTTTTTTTAGTTTTATTTTTTATGGGGAAGGCTGATGTTCAGCAGTGGACAGTAAATGACTGAAATAATAATACTTATATTATATATACAAGATATGACTTAGCAATTACATATTCTATTTCGTTGCTGTATCCCTATTTCACTAAACCGTACTAAATACTAGTGTAAATTGTAATCATTATTATTTAGATATCTTTCTCGAAATAATGGAAAAGATTCGTATAACGTGGTTTTGGTTATCGAGAACTTACTCAACCGCAAGACATAAGATCTAACTAAAATAGATCTCTCTGAGAACTTCAAATACTCAATTCAAATTCCTTTGAATGTTTCTAAGTGGTAAGTAGATGTTGTGTTCAAAAACTTATTGAAGTCCAAAAAAATTATGACCTTAACTCTCCTCAACATTCCAATTATCACGAAATTTTGGTATACATACATACACACACATATACCTATATTACTTTTAAAACATATGTTCATTTTTAACATACATATATATATATATATATATATATATATATATATATATATATATATATATATATATATATATATATATATATATATATATATATATATATATATATATATATATATATATATATATATAAAAAAAAAAAGACATGAAACTATTTTTTATCCAAGTCATGCGCATATGTAAATGAAATCACGGGCACAGACAGTTTTCACTTGTAACGCAGCGACTTTCAAAACTAATATTGTCTAGTAATTAATACTAATATTCTTATTTTAAAATTAATAAAACTTTTTTAATTTGTTCTGCGAAGAAAAATAATGCAATGAATACTACCATCGCAAAATTTGTATGGAAACAACACGAGAGCAAACACAATCAGTTGCAAATATAATTATTAAACTCAGTTTAGAAGTAGCGATATAATTGTATAACGACAACATCATTATACCAGCCTTTAACTGTTAACTGCTGAACGTAAGCCCCCCCCCCAAAGGGTTTTGCTGGTAGTTGCCATTGGCAGGCGGATTAAAAATCGCAGTTAGGCTTTAGAGATGTTTTAGGAGCAACGCTACTGCCCTTGCTCTCCCTTAATCGCCTCTTACGATACCTACGGGAAAGAAAGGGGTGGCCTATTCTATGTCAAGACCACACGGCCAAATTATGTAACGTACACACAAAAAAAAAATATAGACAAATTGAAAAACTCTTTTATTAAAAATCTGGCTTGATCCGACGCGATTTCAATTAGCAATCCTTTTATTAAATCAAGTTATAAGTAGGTTAATTTATTAAATATAATTTAAGCTTCCCAATGTTGGTAATGCACTATTGTAAACCACACTATTATGTGGTTATGCTATAGTTTAAACAAGGTATTTTCAAATAAAATACCATACAATTTCATTGTATCTACTTAGCTATTTTACTTTCTTATCGCTAGCCACACTTGAGAATACTTCAACAATATTCTCCCATAATCCTAATACTTTCCTCCCGAATAGCACATATTTATTTTCGATTCTCTGTATAATCTACTTCAAAAGGATTTTGAATATAATAAAATTTATTTACATTTCAATATATGCAAAATAAATAAACTATTTGTAAATAACTTATTCACATAAGTACAGATATGAATATAACACTAATAATACGATCAAATAAGAAATATATACATTTTTTGAATTACTTTATTACTGAAATAATTAATAATACTGTAATATAATAAAAAGGATTGATAAAAGTAATTCATCATTTATTCACGTTTATAATTAAAATTAAGAATAATAAAACAAAATATCAGAAAGCTGAAATGAATTATAAGGAAATGAATTGTTAAAATAAAATTTGCATGGAAGTATAAACATAGAGTAATCGAAAAGCAAAATATTTAAATAAAATTTAATTATATATTTTGTTATTGAAGTTGTCACTATATCTAGTGGGGGTCGTACTACACTGCGTCGTCATCGTCTAGTCTAGTATTGAACTTATTAAAAAGATAAACAAGTTTTATTGATAATTATCACAGAAATACTCTCTAAATGAAATTAATTACAAATCGTATTTCAATTTGGAATTAATTCAATTAACTGATTTTCTAGTTGTTCTGCTATTGTGTCAGTTGATTATTCGTTTGTTTACATTTTAATTGAGTACCAATTGAAACAAAACACTCGTATACTGCAGTTATTGTTACTGAATGCATGTTATACATTTAGGAAACCAACGTCCGACATGACTATTAATAGATTCATTCACCAGTTGCCCTTGGCGAGGATTGAGGATTATATTTTAATAGGAAACAAATCACGTGAATCTCCATATCACGTGTTTACATTACATACGTTTTGGTATGCAACAGTTTGTTTTCTGTTCCACAAAGATCACAACAATTGTCGGAATCGATTCGAAACTTAATATTTATACTTATACGTGATGTATAAACGATATCATATTACAAGACAAAAAACGTTATCGAATTAAGTACCTTCTTGAAGTGACTTAAAAATCTTATTAGTATGAAACTCATAGTAGGAAGTAACTAGGTAATCAGTATATTGTACAATGTCTATTCAACTGTTATATCTATAAATAAATACACAACAAAATCCACACTTGTAATTATCATAAAAAAAAATGAGAAAGAACTATCAAGAAAAATATTAGAAGACGTATAACAATTAGTAATTTAAGTACCTAATTGCATTTGTGCTGGATAGCTGCTAATTAAAACACACTCGAATTGGGATTAAAGCGAAGTCTCATCTAATTGACGTATAATTTAAAGTCACGCTCCAAATAACTCTTTCCTACTAATCGTTTATCAGACAGAGCTTAAAAACAAGGACAGAGCTATGCGTCCCGAATTATCATATAGTTATTCAGAACTTGTCAAAAGTATTGGTCACTTGTTATTTTTAAAATGTAATAAAACAATGTCCAATTTACGTCAATTCGATGTGATTTCGATATAACTGCAATTCAATTCAAATTAAAACAAATTCAGTGTCTGCTGGTCTTTAGGTATGAAGAGGCTCGTCTCTTCGTGAATTCGTTTATTAACTTCCTTGAATCTGTATTTGCAGACTTGAATAGTTTATGTTAAATTTGATGTCGATCTACTAGACGATTGACTACTTGCTGATGATGAATAATTCGTATCGTAGTCATAATTAACATCTTCGTAGTCATCGAAATCATTATCATCTAAAAAAAAAACAATATTACGTAAACAATAAATTAAATAACAGAACTTGCAAAATATAATGAAATTCAAACATACACGATGGACAATCTTCACTTGGTATGCATGCTCCAAAATCATTTCTAAGATAACCTTCAATACAATCGCATCCAGGTTCTGGGTCTGTTGGTATACAAAAGTTTATACCATATAAACTCTCGCAAGTTTGAGGTGGGCATTCAGTCTTCTGGTCCTTTTTTATCTCGTTTGGTCCACATTTTATATCAAAAACGCGAGCTGATGAAGAAAAAAATATTATTAATTACAAATTTAAAATTTCAATACCGTTTATAATTATGCCATATATAATATAGAGCTTTGACTCATTTGTGCTCGCTCCGAATTCCCACAATACACCTTCACAATCTCCAATGTGCTGTGACAGCAGCGTTCATGTTTGAGCTCCATTAGCTACTTAACATCTGATGAAGAATAATCTCTTTAATCAATTACTACGAATTCAAACAAGTTTGTTACAGTGGCATTAGAAATCGGATAGAATAGAAATAAGGCAATAATATACAATGCTATGTGAGAAATTGCTAGTGTAAATTTTACGTATATATGAACTTGTCATATAAAATGTACAATAGAAATTTTGTCCTTATTTCAGACGCTAAGATGAAATTTGAACCTAGAGCTATTGTTGTCGTATTAAAATCTGCGCAAGCATTAGATAATCCTCTCCGTATATTTAAAACATCATAATATGCTGATAGAATTTTATGCTGGAATACACACATGTCTATTCAGGTATGTATTTCATAACTAACAGATTTAATATCCCCGTCTACTCAGGCCCTTATAATAATATACATACGAGGACATTGATCACTAGGAATACATATTCCGCTGGCATTCCTTAAATAGTTGTCAACGCAATTGCAGCCTGGTACAGGTAGATTTGGTAAACAGTCATACAATGTATAGAGACTCTCACAAGTCTGAGGTGGACATATTATCGCATTGTCGGTAGCTTCTTCATTAAGGCCACATTCAGGAGGTGGTGCTGAGACTGTGGATAAAAATAAATAGAACACTTTATGTTGTTATAAAAGCAAAAATATATATTTACAACAGGCTAGACCTATTAACGGCCAGGCCTTAAATAGATAAAAATTAGACTGGTCATAATAGCTAAATAAGTCCCTAAATATTATAACAGGGAGAAACCCAGTTGATGCATTTAGCTCATTGAAAGTGTCGCTCAAATCGCATTAAAAATTCCACCCTAGTAGTAAAATTACAGAGTATGGAGGACTGGTGATACAAAACACGGTTACCATGTTCTACCCTCACATGGACTGTTAATTTTCACCTTTAAAAAGTACTTAAATTCTAATTGTTTTTTTATGTTTTTTATAGCATAGCATGATGATGATACAACTATTAACTGTCCGCTACTGAACATAGACCTGCCCCTTGAAAAGTTTTACCAGTAAATGCCACGCTTAAGAGACAGGTTGGCAACCGCAATTAGGGTTTGATGATATTTTAAGAGAGACGCTATTGACCATCCCTCGACCATTAAGTTCCCTTATACGCCTCTTAGGGAAAGCAAGGGATGACCTATTCAATGCCTGGACCACACGGCTATAGCATACCTATGCATTTAGGTATATAATTATAACTTTATTTTTACATAAAAATGATTAGATTTTGAAAGATACCAACTCACTTGTCGGGCATTCGTCACTAGGAATACATACTCCGCTAGCATTTCTCAAATAGTTCGCTATACAATTACATCCAGGTTCAGGAGGTTTTATCTCACATTGGTATGAGTTATATATACTTTCGCAAGTTTGCGGTGGGCACACAATTCGATCAGTAGTAGGCGCTTCATTTGGACCACAATTAAAGAGTTCAGGTGCTGAAATAAAGGAATTTTATTTATATTAATATTTATATACTATATAATAGATATTACTCTTCTAATTCGCGTTAATTTTAATAGTTCCTTTCAAGTGAGAAAGAATATATATTTGTACCTAGACGATCCTGGTATGACCTTTACAATACCATGTAACTTTTTGCCATTGATCAGTAAAATATTTTTATTTAAATGTTGAAAAAGTCATCATCTATAAAATGCTTTTTAATCCAGACAAATCATTAAAAAATCGAAAACTGAAGATAACGGGAGATTCTTGAGTGGTTTTATAAATAGATATGCATTCAAGAATGACTCATTTCCCCCTGCAACACATTTGATAAAGAGATGCCCTCAGATGTGTTACAGTAGATGCAATTAGCTTTTAACTTAGCGTTTTATATATAGGAGTGTAAAGGCATAGACCAAAAATGTTAATTTTACAGGAAAACAAAAAAAAATGGTCCAATTTTGTTATTTTTATGAATCTTATATAAAACGTTATGGATGGAGAAGACCTGTGGTTGGCGGTGCAAAATTTGAATCAGAAATGTTGATGATTGTTGAAAATAAACGCACTAGTACTTACGTGGTGGACATTCAACACTAGGTATGCATACACCGCTCGAATTTCTCAAATAATTATCTATACAATCGCACCCAGCCTCAGATGGAGTTTGAATACATGAGTATAATCTGTATATACTCTCGCATGTTTGCGGTGGACACACTATCCTATTATCAGTCGCTACTTCATTAGGGCCACATTCTGGAGCGATTGATTTAGCGGCTGAAAATATGAAAATTATAGATTATAAAAGTGTAAACTGTAACAGTATTCTGCGGCCTTATCTTATTATTGACAGTAATATTATGTATAAAATGTCTTTTCTAATATAAAATATTAATAATCTGTAATATTTTGAGACTTGATATGGATTTGTAGCTATATCCTTATTATTAATATATTAAATTTACATGCCTACAGTTTTAAGACAAATAGTTGCTAAAAAGTTCTGTCACGACAACCACGGGAAAGGAAGTTGACGATAAAAATAATAGATAAAAGATAAATTAATAGTGAATTATTTGAGTTTACATATAACATCTTAGACCTTATCAACACTTGAGATTAAATGAAATTATAGTAAAACAAACTCAAACTTTAGTCCCCAAGGTACAGGTCTGGCCTAGTTTGGGGACTGATGGTAATGCAGATATTTCCTCGTTGAATATAAATTGTAAAAATTGTAAATTGTAAATTGTAACTGTATCTTTTTTTTAATAAATATTATTATTATTATATTATTATTAAATTTAATATAAATAATATCTATAAAATTGTGACATCGTATACCGAAGAAATAAAATAAATCTAAAATATAAAACTCTAATTTCAACATCACATAAACCTCCATAATATTATCAACTCCCTCAATCTATGCACACAAGATGGACATGGATTAAATTTTGTATCGTTCATTTTAAAATTTAAAACATGTGACGTCACATCTGTAGACCCGGGGAGGATCACAGAAATGTGACCACCTGTGGCAATGACGAGGGCAGCTGTAAAAATCATGTAATTCGTGTCACGTTATTTATGGAAGGCCCCTCAAAACTGTGATCGTTCATGTATTAAGTATTCTTTTAGAGTAATTATTTCATTTTACTTTTCTACATTTTATTTTAAATACAAAAGCATGCTTTTAAAGATGTTTTTATTGCATCTTGTTAAATATAACATGACGTTTTTTGTGGTATTTGACAACCGTCATAGTGTAGTGAGTAACACTTTACGTAAATGAGGTCTCAATTGGCCCAACTTAGCAAACAAACTTTTCTGAATTAACTCGAGTCTGGGTGTGGGTTGTAGTTCCAGATGTCCCTTGCCAAGTTCCTCATAACACAGAGTATATCTTGAGGACTAGATGATTGGTATGATTATGTTGCACTTATGTTCTATATTTTAGTTTAAATGTTTACGTCATAGATATAAAAGGATATTATATAATGTATGTATCTAATGTTGTATTTATATCTGTAATTATATTATATAATGTTGTATTTATATCTATTGTATTGTATTTGTATTTTTAATCTTTTACATTAATTATTACTAAACATATCTCCAACGGTTGCATATATAATACGTAAATCAGATTATTACCAGTTATCACCGCCAATGAATAAACAAAATTAAACTGAGCTAATGCGAAATATTAAATTACCTAATTACACGGCTAAACAACTGGCTATTATTGTCTATTATATCTGTCATTCTGAGTAAATATATGGTAAGTATTTGCTTAATAGATATTCTTACATACTCGTACTACACTTATCTTGCATCATTCACATTTCTAAAACACTTAGCATTAATCTCATTTATGCACGTAGGTTCTAGGAGTGTGAAGTTCTACTTCGAAGAATGTTGTCATGTGATTACATGACCACATTCTCCGAAAAAGAATTTTACTAATGATGTCTAGTAGTCACATTACTATTTATACTTTATTTTTACTTTTTCAGGTTAGCATAGGCACATGTTGAGAAACTGTAAAAATATTAGGTTGACCTCTACGCAGTCTTCTTAGAAATCATCATGGTTAATTCTTAATAAATTTGTTACGATTAACCAACTGAACCAATTTTCCCTCACTGATCACTACTAGTGTGTAACAATAACGTAGATTTTCATTATATTTTTATTATATTAAAATTACTGACCAATTTCACTTTACACTTTATACCTGTAATTATATATATATGTATAATTATAATGTATAATTATACATATATATATGTGTGTGTATATACATATGTGCACATTTTCTTTTCTCTTTCTTTTTTTTGTAAAAAAAAATTGTATATTTGCTTACCTGATGCGTCATTTATATCAAGATGCGTTTGTGCGAATCCTAGAACAGCTGAACATAAACCAATCATATAAATTGTAACGAACAACATTACTACTGCGACTTAATGAAACAAACTGTGGCTTTAACAATAATAATTACTTTTATATCGATATCTTTTTTGCATATGCAAACAATTTCATTACGTAAGTAACGTGTACCGAATGAGCAAATTTCAAAAACATTGAAAATATGCAGTTGTTCAAATCGAAAACGTTCATACGATGATAAGCCTTAATTGTTACTTGTTGTTCCAGTATTCTCCTTGACCACGCACGCCTTTTGTTGTACAGGTAATTTCAAGAGCAGACGTACAATATCTCTGACATTTGTTCGATAATAATGAACTATGAACGCGGAGAATATTACTAGATATACATTACAATCATTAGTAGGACATATTACATCTTTTGTGAAAAACTGCGTACATTTTGTTGATAAGTTACCGCGGACGGGGATTGATGAAAATAACGTGACGGCCGTAGACAAGAAGTGATGGCGTAGATTACGTTGATGGTCAATTTTTATGTTGAAGTTCGTCACAAACGTGTAGTAATTTCATGTTCAATTCGATACATATTGGAAAACAAAATAATAGAAGAATTATTAGAGGTAAATTATTTTATTTTCTAAAGTCATCATCAAATTAGGATACCTTGTTTTGAGGAACTACGTAATAAAAACCTGGAATACAATTCAGAATAGCTAGACTCAGGCGAATTCCGAAAAGTTCCCTTTCCCTAAATTAGAGCGTCCAGGAATTGATCTCGGAATCTCATTTGTGCTTAAGCAACATGCTCACTACTGTGTCACTGAGATGGTCAGAAAGTTATCTCACTACATAATAAGTTAATACAAGTAATACATTATGCAAAAGTGAGTTTTCTGTTTGTTACTTCTTAGTGCTTTAATAACTCAACCAGGGGTGCCGACTCCGTGGGTGCTCGGAAGCTGCGGCACCCTCGAGAGATAAATAGCGAGTTTGGAATACCCATGAAATTAGACATCACAATGTAAATAACATAATCCTTTTTTCATTATTTGTAGTTTCAGTTCACGTTTGTTGTCTATTAAGGACTATCCATCTTTCAACTGAAATAATGATGATGAACCTGGTTATCAAAAGAGCATGAACAACCACGAGGTTTTCTAGAAGCCGGCGTCTCTGCTCTCAACCAATAGTCACGAAATACGGGCAAAGACTAATTTATTCTTTATTTTTATTGCACTTATAAATTACATAGATAAGACATACATATTATGAGCAATGGTGGACTTACTTATCTTTAAAAGATTACAGGCAATTATAATTTTTGTACATGCTAAATTAATTACAAAATTAATTAGAAATCAATAATTAATTAGAAGAGATTAAGATTATACTATATTTTGTGTATATCATATCAGAAATTAGAATCGTATCGAAATATAAAACCTGCCTACTTTAATTTACTAAAAACTAAAAAAAAAATATTTAACAAGCCTAATTGTCATCCCATAAATATTGAATAAAATAATGAAATTACCCTTTTTGTAGGGTTAATGCATACCTGCCTTCTTGAAAATAATTTTGTGTAGGCCTAACGGGTCCGAGGGACAATATCAAGTATATTCAGTAGATGAGAAACCGATAAGTATAATAATATTATACTTATCGGTTTCGGTCAAAACAATCGTAAAAAAAAATATTTAATTTGTTGAATTTAAAAAGAAATAATTTTTCAACACAATTTTAATCAATAAGATTTGTTATCTTCAATAATGTACCTACATAGTTAATACCTACAGTACTAAATAAATATGCATTAAATACATTTTTGCCTTGTGGTCCAGGCATAGACTTAGACGCCTAAGGGGGCTTAATGGCCGATGAATGGATAGCAGCGTCCTTTTAAAAGAACCCGCCTGCCAAACCTGGGAACAATTAAAAAAAGACTCTGATTGAGGGAGGATTGTGATCACCAGTAAACAGTTAACGGCTGATATCAAAATAATAAACATTTTTTAAAGGAATAAAGATTAAAATAATGATCAAGTCTATATTGGGAGCCCACCTACACTAATACTCAATGGGTATTTGCATTTATCAAAGAACGTACCTATAATAAAATAAAGAAGCCTGCCACGCTTATATTTCATTCTAATATATCTAAGCACTTACCTACTGGTAATATTTTTACTGGGGTTTCAATAAGCGACAACTGGCAACGACAGCTTTGTTGAATTTCAAATGGATGCTGAAAATAGTTACTTCTAAAATAGTAGATAAGTACCTAGATGTTTACGAACGGTCTCGTCTTGGCAAATTCACTTAGAGGCTTTATTTTAGTAAACGAAATTTGAATTCCGTTTCTACTGTATTAGTTTGTGCTGGTGAGGTACCAGTGAGAGAGTTAGGCGAGAATGGAATCAAGATAGCCTATTATGATAAATCCATCACTATGGCTTCCGAAAAGACCGCATAGAGATCCACTTGACAGTTATATTACTTACTAGTTAACTTTACTTACAATCCCATCCATCCCTTCTGTAGAGGTTTAAATAATGGGGTAAAATATGAATCGGTATCCCCGCCTAAGCTATCAGTTTAAAGTTTAAGGTGAGGATGAGCACGTCAGTTAGTTCATTGCAATAAATTCCACAATAATTAATCACTATAGTATTCAAGAGGAACACATGAAGTTTGACCTTACAGAGTATATTTTTAGCAATGGGGGCGCTAATCTCCTTTGTTAACAATCTCTTTTCCTCCCACTCACCCTTACTTAGAAGGAATTTAATATAAAAATATATATATAACTGCATCCTCGCCTACGCAATTAGTATAAAGTCAAGTCAATAGACCTATCGTGATTATTTCACCAGGATTTAACCATGATAATTTCCAGGAGTCACCGCGTGAAGGTTAATTTGATATATAGAATAGGTATTCTGGGCTTTAATATTCCCAAGCAATATAAGTATATTGCTTGGAAATATTAGAGCCGACATCGCTAACAACGCCATCACTAACAATCTTATCAACTCCTTTCTTAGAAGTAGGTACCCTATTTCTTAATACAAGGACACACAGAAGACAATCTGCATTTAGTTCAGTCATCAATTATGCTATTAGTCAGTTAGCCCATCATGACGAATTCAACAACAATTGTTCACATTGGTTTCCAGGTGGAACTACGTGGAGGTCGACCTAATAGGGTATATTGGTAGCAATGGGACTGTCAAACTCCATTGCTAACAATTCCTATGCCTGTTGAGTTAGTATTGTAATTTTTTTAATCGGTTTTGAATTTTTGATTCACGGAACTTATATTCTAATATGTTCTGTAGCGTGGGTGGATTCCCAGTAGGTATATCGTACCGATAACGATTTAGATTTTATTCTGTAGAACCACAATTTTTTATATTTAAATATACCCTTTAGTAATAAGAACTTTCGCCTACGCTAACCAATTACTACTCGTTACCGTGGGAAGAATTTTCAGAATTGGTTCACTTAGTTTCAGATTATTAAAAATATATTGTACCTAATAATAAACTGTTTATGATAGATTCAATGAATATTTTAGTTTTATTTTAACTAAATTACTAAGTCTATTCAGCAAAATTATTTAAAACCGCAGATATTATCCTTAACTGTTTACATTCCTCGCCACAAGTGAAGATTCATACTTGACCATGATACAATATTTCTACTAATAAGAAGAAAGTCCTCGGCACTTTAATTATACAAATAATTGTACAATCTTGTTCTTTTTGCTACTTGGGTATGTTTATAAATGAAATTTATAGCTTCTAAAAAAAACATCAAATTTACTCTCCGATGTTAACAGACCGAAACATTGTTTAAAAGGGTTCCATAATAGTCCCCGTGTTGTCCCTTAAACGCCAAGTTTTTGAGGTCGCTTCCTACGTGAAAACGCGCTATAAACGTGCTTTTAGATACAGGTGGTGGGTGTCTCGAGTACAAACATTTTATCGGAGTTCTGTCTTTAATTATTTAAAACGGTTTTAAAGGGTCGAAACTTGGCGCTCGCAACATGGAATTCGGAATGTCTCGGAGACATAAAGAGCTTTTTACTGTTGATCCTTTTCCAAATGCCTGACCCGTGGCCTTCCATTTCCACCGAATAACACATTAGACACATCAAATATGTATGCAACTCTTAGAATTTGTAATTCTGAATATCCTAATAGAGTGCTGATGGTGTAACACGGTTTTACCTTTTCTTATTTTACGTATGCGATTTACTTTATAAATTACTAAGTAGATAGGGGTCTCTTAATGTGTTTCTCGGAATTGTTTATTTATTTATGTGGACTCAATTGTCATTTTTCATTTAAAAGAATCGAAATTATATTTTCTAAAAGCACTATATTTAAATAATACTTTGATTCCGAAGTATGACAACATCAAAAATAGTACTCGTACCTGGGCATACCATTTTCACATACAACAACATCGAAATTACCAGTCCATTTTCAAAAACATTTCTTTTCCAATTAATGTAAGGATTTTTCTGTCATCAAAGTTGTCACACCGATATAAACGCACTAAAGTAATCCTATGAAAACATAAGTACTTATTTTCTATAAATTTACAGGTATCAGAAAATAAACTTACCGTTATTTTATCACCATCATCACCATCATATTAGCCATATAATGGGGTTTTTACAAGTAGTTGTCATGCTTGGCTGGCGGATTAGCAACTGCAGTAAGGCCTCGATGATGTCTAACGAGGGACGCTGCAGCCTAAATTTCGATCATTAAATTCCCATAATCACTTCTTACGACACCCACAGGAAAGGAAAGGATGGTTCATTCTATACTAGGACCACACGGCATAAACGACTATTATTTTATACTAGTTCTTAAATGTGACTTCGTCTACGTGGTCAGGATAAACAGTGGCCTATGTTCTTCTTCATCCTATATAGTATACCAAACTTTATTGTGATTGATTTAACCGCAAAAGACGCCAAAATGTAACAAACTAATTCATTATAAAATTTATAAGTACTTAGGATTTCACGCAATACCTTCGTCAATTTTAAACCTTTAATTTTTAAACCTTTAATAATTATATTATAATAAATATTTTTAAACATCTCTAAAAGCCTAACTGCGGTTGCCAATCCGCCTACTAAGGGTGGCAACTACTGGCGAACGTCCATTATGGGGAAGGTTTATGTTCAACAGTGAACAGTTAACAGATTAAATGAATTCTTTTTATAATAGATAAAAAATGATATATATATATTTTTTGCTAAATAAAATCCTACACTAAATAAAATTTATAAAATACTGATCTTTAAGAGTTCTATGGTTCAAATTATCATCGTGATTGAATGGAATATTTCGTTTTCGACTTTTTTCTATCCTAACATCGTCGCCGACACGGCAACCACATTTTCCCAACGGTACACTACGAATGGAACTGGTAACGTAGAAATTTATATTTTCCGACGTTCTTGTAATTTTCTACGATGTAACACTCACAAGGGAGTGCGGTACAAAGAGATATTAAATTTAAAAATGCACGGCAGCGGGATTGTTGAATACGAGTGGCCGAAAATATTTCTAGAGTGTTCCTTTTATGGTACCTATACAAAGCAGACTGCAGCGTCGTTCTGGTTAATATGCCTCGTTCAAATTACATCATTCTACTTCAGAATATAAAAGAAAATAACGTTATTGAAGTTGAAATGTTTTCTTCGTTATGTATTTATTAAATTGCAGGTAGAGATTACATATATTACAAGGATATTCCCAGGAAAACCAGAGCATTCGAAATAACTACATACGCAAGCTAAAATGACTATGGGCCAGATGGTATATCTAGAAGAATCGATAACCAATGGTGAAACACGATATTATAATAAAGAAAATAAGGTAAACACGTCACAAGCCCACCGAAAAATGAAGCCTGGAGATGACTCCAATTAGCGCCCCAATAAACTTTGCATATACCTCCACACAGATAATAATTGTCTATTATATACCACTCTTATTGTTTGAATCACTTCATCCATTTAATAATAACGTGGATTTAAGAAGTAGGAAAATCAATCAAATAGACAGAGAAATGGAATAGAATAGAAAGGTTTCGCTAGTTAATGCCACGCTTTTTCTATTGCTCCTATTAAAATCCCTTATGTATGTTTTTTTTTAATATCTCCCATGTACAGACAGTTACTCATTTTATAATATTAGTAAAATATTTTTATTATAAAAATCAATGACAGGAAAAATAAAGTATTGAATGACGGATATTTTAAATAATATCGGTAAACTAATATATTATATCAAAATAAAGAACCCGATAGTAACGAGTTTAGATATCTGACTGGTATGGGTGATGTCGATATTGGTGATGACCTCTTTCCTGCCATCAATGTCCAATGTCCAGACTGGAGGGAAGGGATTGTTAGTATTGGGGAAGTCACTTCCATTGCTAACAATATACCTTCTCAGGATAAATTTTCATGTATAGTTCTCGAAATAATGTATATGGTAAAACAACGTTTGCCGAGTCAGCTAGTAGTTATATAAAAACATTAATTTTAACATGAATGTACGTACTTACTGTTATTTATAGAAGCGTGTAATTACTGAATTTATATAACAAATTTGCATTTCTAAAACTTAACTCATTAGTTATGAGAAATATGCCATCGTTTGCTTTTGTCTATATATACCTATGTATAGCGTCGTGTAAATAAGTATAACACGTGTAAATAAAAACGACACGTGTACACAAGTTTCATTTATTATTATAGTTTATGAAACCAACTGCACCATCATAAACAAATATTTTGCAACAGCATGCATTTAATAGAGTATTAATGAAGTGGAAAGGTTAACTGCGTCTAAGAATTGAAAATGATAGTGAAAGAACTTTTTAACCGAATATTCTTTTAAACTATACTTTTTCAACCACATACCCATGTAATGTAATAGATAAAAATTTAGGTCAATAGCTTATTGTGTTTCAAGTTTTGTTTTTTTTTTTTGGTAATTTTAATTTGTCGTCAAAGGATGCTATTTTGCAATTAGAATCATTAAATTTGTACTCACTCAAATATGGTTTTATTATGTAAAGAAAACAAAAACCTGTTTTCATTATCTATATGGGTTCCTTGTGTTTAAGAAGAAAAAGTGTTACACTTGAGTGTTTTTTTATAAGTCCGTATTAAGGTACGTATAACTATATTAAATAAATTAAAGAGTTTTGATAATAAAAATTAATTTATTCCACAAAAGTATTAACAATTTATACCACAAAATTATAATACAATATGTAAAAGAATTTCATATTTAATTAAAAAAAAAGTATATTTCAAATTTACAAATATCATACAGATCAATTATTAATCATAGGTAACACTTTCTAGTGCGCACGAATAAATACGTGAAATAAAAAAAAAATATATTCACAATCTTTTGGCACAAACACTTACCGAAACCAAATTAAAAAATGAGCATTCTATTCATTGCTTCTATAAGCCCATAGTTGTATACCTAATATACATTTTAACTGGCACAAAATTCGTACAAAAATACAAGAATACATAAAATGGAATGCCATGAGAAATCTCAGTTTAATCTCGTATGTGACAAATCACAATCATTATTAATTACACTGCACATCATCATTTCAACCTAAATGTATCCACTATTGGACATAAAGCTCACTATATATGAACATAAGGAACGGGTAGAGTCACTTGCATTAGTTTACTACCTACGACGCATTTAAAGAATCGAGGGAAGTGGTCGCCTTACATTGTGTTTGTCACTCGAGATTTTTTCCAACATTATATGGACGGTAGATTACCGCAAATTTTCACCACCTTTAACTAAGAAAGAACGTAAAAATGAAAACCTCCAAAATTTAATATTCATTTATATCTGTTAAACCTCATTTTCTCATTAAAGAGTCTGCCACTTTCTTTTGAGAAAAAAAATCAATTCAAAAGAAAGCGACAAAACGTACCAATAGTTGAAATAAGTACGGAGGTATTATGCTTTTATGAATATACATCAATGCCTTGCCATTACCCTATTATTTGGGAGGTGGCACCGTATAATAATACATTATGATTTTTACAAAGATTTGTACCCGCATTTACGGTTCAGGTACCTAAACAAGTCTAAAAATTAATTGCCTTCATTATTTACACACGATTAAATTACATTTGTATTATGCACAATATTCCATCATACCAAAGACTAGCCTTTGCTAAGTACATACAGTTACGTACAAAAATATCATTATCTAAAAATTCGTTGAACACAATATATTATGCTATATTAAAAATATACTTCATTATAATGTTTATGGACGAATATTATTTTATCACATAATAGTCTTTTAGTTTTTCACAAATTTCCTCTCAGCATAGAGATTCACTCATTGAATTGATGAATTCACTTCTTGATGACGTAATATTAATAATTCGATGCTTAAACAAATAGATTCAAAAGAGAATCTTACAGCTACTATTTCACTCGCACTGTAGAACAGTCTTTAAGAGAAAAAAAAAAAGATCTATGTCACATGCGAACAGTTTTAAAAAGTTATATTATACACTATAGCTCAGTCGTGGTTTCCACCGGTGATTGGTCATATGAGTAACTGCTAAAGTTTCTTTTGCCAAAGGTAACATTATCGTTATCCGACGCTCTGAAAAAAAAAGTAAAATTGTTATTAATAAAATAATATATATCACTAGACACATAACACTGTGCCATCTGGTGCGAAACTACTATGGATACCTATACAACTAATAAATTTATTTTAAATACATTCAGACCAATTTTACATGGATATGGTACTTCACGTACGTACTTCTGCACCGTGCGGTTCCGGCATAGACTAGACTACCCCTTACTTTCCCGTAGGTGTCATAAGAGGCGACTAAAGAAATTTGAAGGTCGAGGAATGGACAGCACCGTCTCTTTTTAAACATCACAAAAGCCTAACAACGGTTGCCAATCCACCTGCTAAGCATGGCAACTAGTGTCAAAACCCCCGATAATGGGAGACTTATGTTCAGCAGTGGAGAATTAACGGCTGACATTGTATGTATTGGTATAAATGGTAGGTAATATCTGACTAATATATCTCGTATATTAATAATAATATTCAAACTTATATGAATATAAAGATATCAACAATGCTAAAGATTAATTACTTGATACGATGTCTAAAGGGTAACTCCAAGTACTGTAAAGATATAAACAATCAAAATACATTAATATATGTATATATATACTCCAGATTAACAATACAACTTCAGTGTAATGACTAAACTTTATAATGTAAATTTCAAATTACGGCTACATAGCCATATATTGAAATTTCTTAGTACCTTGTAGATACTAAAGCTCGCAGGAATTTCGTACATTGATCCTATTCAGATACGAAATTAATTTTATATCTAGTTCTCTAGTAAAAGAAATGGTTTTAATTTTAAAATTAGTTCATTACAAATACTGTCTTCTTTTTTTTTCTTTTGTCTGGTGTCTAAGATACAAGTTACGACTTAGTTTAGGCTCCAGATCTCCCACAAATTACGATACTTTTATTTTGTATAAAGTAAATAATTTATACACTGTAATTTGTGGAGATGAATAAACTAATTATTATTATTTTAATAAATGTTATTTCAGAATTGAGCCAGCAAACGATTACTGGATCGGTAATTCACAATTAACGTTATAGTAGTAATAAAGAAATGTGTTTTTGTTTTTTGTTACAATAATTATTTGCTAGTAACAATTATTTTAGGGAGACTAGCTAGAAACTAGTAATTAAAAATGAAAATTTAAAACGTTGCGATTTTTTTGTAGACATTTTCCATTTAAAAATTCTTATTGTCTAAGTATGTCACGATCTCTGACGAGTTATTGATGTTTATACTATAATAGATAGATACTCTTTATTGTTTCCTCCAAAAGATTACAATAGTAAATTTGTTACAAACAAACATTTACAAGAAAATATTACACTGAGAAAATAATGCGGCCCTATTGCTATGAGCGACATTTTCCAAGTAACCTCTGGATGGAGAAGAGTTTGACTTACTTTGGTTGATAAAAACCAACTTGGAAACTTTACCAAACTCGGATACTGACAAAAACTCAAATGTATTTTTAATATAAGACAGTTGACGAGTGCGATTTTTATTGTTGTACAAATTCATAGTACAAAAGTGACAGTGTACGAAATTCCTTCTGATCGTGGCACGACTAGAGGGGCCTTAATTGGTACTGATGTACAAATTACGCAAGGGACCTATTGCAAACATTCGTATCGTAACAATGTCCTTATAAAGTATTCCGTAATTACATAGCGAGAACAGTGTATACTCGTATTTTCATTAAGAGTTATATATTAAACGGTACTAAGCATAATAATAGAAGCAGTGGAGAAACTGTACAAATAATTGGGCTTAATTTTATGAAGATATACCATCTTAAAGGAAAGAATCCCCTTAAGAACATTCATAATTTTGGCTTGTTCAAGTATAGTGTGGAGTACAGGCCACATATATTATTTATAGCTATTTATTATTATTTACCAAATTCGAAATTGACACGCATATCTATTGTTTCCTTTTGGCTTTCCTTTACGGCCCTAGTCTTCTAAGTTCCTTTGACTATTACACATATATTTCTAATTTCCATTCCTGGTTTCCTTTGTCGCCCACATATAGCATCATCTTAATTATCTATCAATTTCCAAAAAGGGTTTAATAATTTCCATTGTTTCTAATTGATTATTTAAAAAATGCTCTGCTAGCGAACTAAAACGTTAAATCAAATCGAAAAATGTGATCCAAGAAAAACACAGCTGTATAAATAAGAAAATATTTCAGATTGTCAAAATACTTTTCGAATTTTTTTATTATTTTTCTTTTAATGATACATATCTAAGAAAATAGAAACATAATTGAATACTTCTTATTTCTGAACTTATATAAACATATGTTTTATTTAAGATACTTATACATTTAACTTAAAACCTCAAATTACTTGGAGTATAATTCTCATATTCTAATAATATTTCTATTAACCTTAACAGTACTGACAAAATTCTGCCTTCATAATGACTCTAACTAGTAACTGACTAGCATTATTATGTCTCCGTAATAGAATATATATCACAAAGTTTGCTAGAAGTTTATATGGGTATGATTTTATTTCGAGATTTCCTTATTTTGCAATGATATATTCTAAAATTGTGCCTTGAAAATACAACATTATTATATTGAATTAAATAAGGGTATACAATGAACAAACAAGTGATTTACCTTTGCAATCCGGGTATCTCATCATACGCCATTATGGGTTGCGTAGATTTCTTTTTATGATTGTTACCGCCATTTATTTTCCTGCCGAGTGTCGTGGCCAGTAATCCGCCACCTACATTGTTGTTGTTCACACGCGGTAACGTGCCGAGTGCGTTGTTCAATGCGTGGTTATTTGGCACCCGTCGATTCAGTGTTTGTGTGTTGCGTGCGATGGTCGCGTTATTCGCAATCGAGTCGAAGTTACTGTTGTTCAATGTACCGCCGTTTTCGTTGACGCTTGACGCGCGAGCGGTGGTTGCCGTTTCTGATAATGTCGGGCTCCGTTCACCTATGAAATTTGCATGTTTATAAGGGAATTTAATATTAAAGTACATGTTTCTTAAACTAAATCGATTCGAATAAATAAAATAAAATGACAACGCAATTATGAATAAGATAATGATTACATTGTTTTTTTGCAAAATTTTATAAAATTAGTAGCCATTTTCAACGGTTAAATAAGTCTATTAAGTATTCTTTTTTGTATACAACTTAGAATGGCAAACAGCTAACAGCCCACCTGGTGGAAAGCGGTAACCGTCGCCTATAGACATGAGCAGTACCATGGACATAACAAATTATACTGTTTCGCCTATGATAACCCCCATGCGTTGCCATTCCTGAGGACTCAGGTGTTATTCCTCTGTACCCTGTAAATTCACTGCCATATCCCACCCTTCAAACTGAAACACAGCCATTCAAACACAACTGTTTCACGGAAGAAACACGAATGGGACAGAGGTGGCCAAGCGAGACTTGAAATTTCATTTAAATCGTTTCAACCGTTCAAGTAAAACATCCAAATATCTTTACAAACTTTGATATTTGATAATATTAATAGGATTAAAAGGTCTCTAATAATAATATTGTTGCTTATATGTGTATTATTAAAAATTGAATATTGTATGGCAAATATTCATTGTATTTGGACAAATCGAAGGGTACATTCTCGACAATGGAACATTCGGCACAATGCCTCTACCACATAAATATGATAAACATATATTGATGCTGTGGCAGCCATTTTTGTATTTTTATAATGGACATTAGTATGTCCTTAGTATTTTCAATATGAATGTTTGTTACGTTTTTTTTTTTTACGTTTGTTTAGGAAAGAGAAGGAGATAGACTTTTTGTACCAAACAATCAATATGACCCGGACAAGTAAAGGAAGTAGAAACCACACTTTGTTTGTAATAATTGTTGCAATAAATATATTTATAGATTTAACTATAAAAATTGATTTATAAAAAATATACTGACCATTATCTTTAGATAAATATTGTACGCTATGTATGTTGAAAGCATGATTATTAGCGCTGAAATCTAATTGCAAGTCAGCGTCGTCAACTGCCATATTGAGAACCTGGAAAGAAAATTTATGTAAAGCTACCGACTGGATTGATTTATTTATAATTCAGAAAGAGAAGAAGAGAAATGGAGAGGGAAAGAGAATATGCTATATTTACATTAGACATTCGCCTTAATAAAAATAGTTAAAATTTATTATTTTTTTTAACACAACGGTATACAAATATATCTCATAATCCCATTATAAATTATATCATTATATTATTTAAATATTATACTGAACATTGTAGCGTTGTGCATTTGACAGCTGACATTTTGACAACATAAGATTTCTAGAGTTGAAATGTAATGACTATAATAAATAGGTACTTTCTTATGACCCAAAATTTTTGGAAGAACGTAATATTTCTATGGTTTTAATGAACTATCATCCGAAACATGCAATAGCACGTATAGTAATGTTCATGTGAATATGTCTGTCTAGTAAGCGAATAAATTAATAATACCTGTGTTTCGTATCTCGGCGCGGGTTCGTCTTCACTCGATTCATACCCGGACGGGGGTCGCGGAGGCGCCATACTCATACTGAGTGTTCCGTACTGTTGTATCGCTTGCTCCTTATGTTTCTTGTACCTTTGATAAAGTGACAATATATATGAATAAGGCCTTTTCAAAAAAACATAGGACAAAATTAGATATGAAAATCATATTTGACTTTTTTACTAAATCGATTCTTGTGATCTCGCAATTTATATGAAAAGAAACTTAATTAAATACAAGTTGTTATACTAGTGCCCGTCATATTGGAAAAAAGAATTAATAATAAACAGAATACTCTATTATGTCCATGGTACTGCTCATGTCTATAGGCGTCGGTTACCACTTTCCATCAGGTGGACCGTCAGCTTGTTTGTCATTCTAAGTTGCATAAAAGAATAGTTGATAGACATAAGTTATAATTAATTTAAAACAATAAAATAAGACAATAACGTAAGAACTATAAATCAAACCAATTCGATAACTTAGAGAACTGGCAATAATTATTATTTGCTTATTTTTAAATTTGTCTGTGTTTGATACATACTATAAAAAAAAAATCTGTAGAAACAAACTCACCTATTCCACGATGCGCATATGTATATTGTAGCAGCAGTGGCAGCGACTAAAACAAGCGCTGCCAGCGCTATTAAAGCAGCTGGAAGCGCTGAGGCCAACGGTGCGACCGCAATATGCGGCCGTCGCGGGGGCTCAGCCGGTATGAGAGGCGCTCGAACCTCGCTCACTGGAGATTGCAAGCGAGCGGCTACCGCTTTACGAACGCCGTTCTCGATCGCCCTAAGAAATTAAATCAAATTATAAACTACAAAGTGGTGTATTGAACTCTAAAATATTGCATGGAACTTAGTACTCATTAGGTTTCACTTTATTGTGACACATTTAGCAATATGAGTAGGTGATAAATAGATTGACTTGATGACCAATAACTAATAAGTTTGGTTTTAAAAATATTCTAATATAATCTTCTAATAAAATTGTTTTCATATTATTTTTAAATTCAACTTATTTATTGCATTCAAATTAACCAAGTTAAATATGGAAACTTTATTATATAATCTGTAATTGTGAAGTACACACAGGCCACATATATTGTTAATAGTTTTTATATTATTTTATTTTATCCTAAATAACTCATGTGTAAATTTAAGTAATTTGCGAGAAGTGCACTTCGGTTGCAGTGAAAATACAAGTTTATTTGGCATTCCAAATTATATAAAAAAAATGAAAATTCAATTTGAACTTACTTCTTTACAGGTTTAGATTCTCTCGTCAATATCTCCCCAGTTCCAGGCTCCACCAGGTACAACCAGACATCAGTTCCCCTCGTATCACTCTCCAATGTCCCGTTTTCCCCTAAATAATGCCTTGCAGTTAACTTCTCCAGGCCAGCAACTAAACCACTCTTCTCTTCTATAGCGGTTAGTAGACTACGCGACCGTCGTCGCATGGCGTCAGGGTTTAAATCTGATACTTCCACGACTAACTGGTTTTCTTTTTGGAGAAGGTTTATCTGAAAAAATCATAGAATTTAAATGAAAGTTTGTAAAGGATACTATAAATTTCATATAGCTCTATAAATATACATTAGGTACATAAAATACATAAAATAAACTTCTCACAGACTCGTCATCATTTCCTTAGATTAAAGATAATATCGTCATAGTCGTAGAATACTGACGGATCTGACAAATATTACATATAAATATCCGTCAGTATTCTAAGACTATGACGATATATGCAGATCATTTTATTCGCTTCTTTTTTATTTTGTTTTTAAATTAACCCTATCAAACTAACAGATGCCTGCATTATATATTTGGAGGTTTACAACTTCCATCTCATAGCGAACGCATTTGTTTCACTAAACAGCGACGTACTTCACGCGATTTTTTAATAAAATTTACATAATAATCATGTAAAATAAAAGTATTAATTATATTACTAGTGTTTTGATGTAGTAACTACCAGTTCAACTTAAATCGAAACGACTCGACTAGTTACGGAAACAATTTACGATCCTTAGTCATGAGCGACTGTAACGCGAGCACGAGCCTGACTGATTTGCGATCTCGTGTAACAATATATTAGTATATAATATATAGTATATAGAATAATATATAGTAATATATTTGTGTAAGATTTAAAAAAAATATCTACTTACCACAACAGAAGCTCTAGCAATATTATAATCTTGAGGTGAATTGGGATTGTCTCGTGCAGTCACACTGAACTTGAATGGTAGGACATCCTTTGGAACGTTCTCGAACGATTTGATGTTACTAATTACACCAGTATCAGGGTCTAGACTGAAGTACTCCTCTGCGGTTTTAGTCCACGAGTTCTTATGGTATTCGAGCTTGCCGTAGTCGCCGCTGTCTTTGTCCTTAGCCTATAAATATTGAAATAAATATATTTTCCCAATAATAATAATTATTTGTGAAATAATTATAGTAGTATAAAAATTATTTTCGTTTAAAATAATTTTTAACGAATCTTATATTATATTTAATTAATATTGTAAACATTTTATGTTTATTAAACTATCAATAAAAATTAGATGTTAAAAATCTTTAAAAAAAAAACTTCAAAAGCAAAATATGAAAAATATGCAAAATGTTAGTGCTAGATTTATGTGTAACATGTTCTATGATTGACATATTAATTAGTTTTCAGCACACTTTTTATAAAATGAATTAGAAATATTGAAAATTGTTCAATTGTTTCTGAAAATTAAATAAATAAAACTGACACAATATCTATGGTGTCACACTTCAGTAAAGAACAATATTTAAATATTGGTAAAGAAGAAAAGGCCGACAGCACTATTTTTTTTTTATATACAACTTAGAATGACAAACAAGCTGACGGTCCACCTGATGGAAAATGGTAACCGTCGCCTATAGACATGAGTAGTATACTGTTTCGCCCATGATACCTCCCATGCGTTGCCATTTCTGAGGACTCAGGTGTTATTCCTCTGTACCCTGTAAATTCAGGCCACTGACTGCAATGCCTCTGGTGATGCGGTTGCTCATGGGTGGCAATAGCCACTTACAATCAGGCGAGCCGCATGCTCGTTTACTCCCTGTGCTATAAATAAAAAAAAACTTACCTTTACTTGCAATACGTTCGTTCCCAACAACATATCTTTGGTTACAATAGCGAAATATTTCCCCTTTGCAGCCGAAATTGTAGACTGATCGGAGAATATGAAGGTAGGCACATTATCATTCGCATCCGTAACATGCACCTTTATAACCGCTTTACTGCTGTCGGGGTTAATTAGACCCTGTATGGACTCTAGTTGGACCTCTAACGAGTACTCTGAGAGAGTCTCGTAGTCTAAGGAACTTGTATTGAGGTAGATAGCACAGTCTCTTTCCAACGTTAGATTGACGTAGAAAACTCCTACAATAAAATAGAGAAACATAAAAGGTTAAATGTAAATATTTTAATTTACAATTATAATATTATAAAGAGGAAAGGTCTGATTATTTGTAATTGATATACTCAAAAACTACATAACCGATTTTAAAAATTCCGTCACCTATAGAAAGCTATATTATCAGCGAGTAACATAAACTATATACTATTCTCTAAAATTCTATCTACCCGAAGCCGAAGTTGGGCTGAATCACTAGTAATAATATATTTTAGAAATGAACAAAATTTAAACTTTTTTTATAGCTGCAACACTAAACGTGTCATATGTTATGTGCATTGCCGACCCTGAGGAAACCTTAATATTTCAATTCTAATTTATAATTATATGTTTATTAGAAATTCATGAACGTGTGTGAAAAAGTTGTTGTCATGTATACGAACTAGTAACAACCAATTATTATTGTAATTGATTGGATTGGTGTCTGGTGCCTTTTTTTATTTATTTATATTTTATTTATATCCTGCATGCGCGATGTAGTATCCTATTGGCATTTTAAATGTATTTGTATATCAGAATAATACTGCTGTAAAAATAACGCTATTTGATTGCACTTCATCCTCATCGCATCCAAAAACGTTTTGCTTTGGGTAACCAGCAACGTCCTATTATTATGGTAACGCCATTATCATGCTAACCTAGCGGCTATATCTACTATATAATAGTAGATATAATAAATTATATTATTCGTAAATGAAGTATAATTTAGTAATATTTTTTATGATTAAATATACCTTTTTGCGATGTCTCAGTGAGTATGCACTTCAGTGGAGTATCCATAGAGTGCTGTTTCTTGTTCAAGACCGGCAATATTCTCACTAATGTGCCATTTCGTGAGTTCTCCGCTACGTGTTCAGTGTACACAGTGTCAGCGAACCCTAGGCCGACCTAAAAAAATAATACAAAACTTCACAACTGTATACGAACGTTGAATATATAAAATTATCATAATCGTTTATTCAGACTATTATACATGTTGCAGAAATAGAAGGTAATGAACATGAATACTAAATATTTTTTCTTCTTTCAAATATTCACTCATTTGAAAGAAAAAGAATTACACATATATGAAATTAATGGAGTATGTATAAATAACTACATATTATACGAAACCATGCAATGTGAGAGATCGTATGTAGTAAATAGACATAGAATAGATCACCCCTTCCTTTCCCGTGGGTGTCATAAGAGGCGACTAAGGGAAGGCGAGGGATAGACAGCAGCGTTCCTCGTAAAATATCTCCAAAACCTCACTACGGCTTCCAATCAGCCTGCCAAGCATGACAACTACCGGCAAACCCCAAAAGGGGTTTATGTTCAGCAGTGGACAGTTAAAGACTGATATGGTGAAGCAGAGAATGTATTATACTCGTATGTGTATTGCACAATGTTAAACTCACATCAGGAGGAACGGTAGCTGAATGACTGACGTAAATGGTAAGGCTGGCAACTGATGACATCACTGGCTCCCCTTGGTCGTAAGCTTGTACATCCACCTGTAATATTATTCTGAATTGTAGATTCTTTAAACTAAGATGTTCTATACAGATATATATTTGTTTATTAGATAATCTTTGAAATAACAAACAAATAATTTAAAAAATGTGTAATTACATTTATAAAATACAAAATGCGATCCCATCGCGACTCAAGACATTACTTACAGACAACCTTTAAGTAGAGAAGAAAAGGAGGCTATTTGGCGCAAGAAATGTAATAAAAAACGTTCGTCTCTATCTACATTCAGATAAACTTTCCATATTTTAATTTCTTTACGATTAAAAAATTCAATGCGAACCTGGTTTGAATTCTTAAAAACTTATAATTTTGTGGTTTCTATTTTAAAAAACGATTAGTAAATTTGTGAAAGAGAAAGGTTTTTTAAGTACGTAGTTCGTTTATCACTTAACTGTTAAGGGTTTCCTACGAGATAATCATAAACAAATTTTGTAATAGCCGTCAACTTTTCGTATAGAAACAAAAAAACAATATGACTTCAATTCTTAATCAGATGGCGCTATTTAGGTGAAAATTGTCAACTATTGACAAATATGGATACATGAATAGTCTCTCGAAAACCTTCATACTCTTAATTGTAAGAAAGAAATTATTCATTAAGTTAATAACCCTTATATTTGAGAATAAAATAAATCACATTTTGAACCTTATTATTATATACTTACGGTATACTCGCTATCGGTCTCCTTCCTCAAATCATCTCTAACTCTGAGTGCCCCGGTATCAGGTTCGACGTGGAAATACTTTGATGCTTTGCCTCTGCCGACTAGCTTGTAGCGTACTCTGTTGTTGGGAGCGGTAGCATCAGAATCTACAGCGAGGACGGTCTGGACGAGGGTGCCGATGGACGAAGAGTCCTCCACTGTGACGGGCCGGACTACTGATGTGAATATAGGCGAGTTATCATTTTTGTCCTGAAATTTTAGAATTGTTTAATTGTAAACCTGATGTTTCGAGAAGTAGTCAATAATGTTTGACCAAACAATTACAAGTGGGGGGAAAGGGATTGTTAGTAATGGAGACTAAGAATCCCATTACTAGCAATATTCCCAACCAAGTCGACCTTCACGCGGTTCCCCCAGGAAACTATCATGGTTAATTCCTGATGAATTCATCATGATGGGCTAACTGGCCTGTTTTCATTCTCATCAATCACCCTTCACTGGTGCTCCGCCAGCATATCCCGTTAGCGCAAGCGGGGTTACCATTCCATTTTCACCCATAAAAAAAAAACAGTTACAAGTTTGGATAAGAGAACAAATGAACAAACATTACAATATCTGGTTCTCTAAGAAAGTGGCAAGCGAATTCATTAATGGAACCGACATAGCTAGCGAATTCGTGAGTTAGAATGAGATAACAACGTCGGATGTCTCATTCCAACTTAAAGACTTCTGATTACGATTCAATCGATGGATTCGCTTGTCACTTGTCTACAGGGGCTAAACACAGACACTACTACACTACGATTACTTTATTGTATTTATTTATATAGACAAACAATACTCACATCTACAAGCACCTCGACTGTAGTAGTAGCGCCGGGTCCCTCTCCCGAATTCTCTTCCGTGCCCACTAATATCTCGTGGCGTGCCATCACTTCTCTATCTAGAGGCCGTAATGTTCTGATCATACCAGTCTTGCGATCTATTGAGAACAGATCAGTGTCGCCAAGCATTATAGTGTAGGTTATTTCTGATAACGTATCAGGATCTTCTGCCTGTAATATACAAAGTATATACATTTTTTTAAAACATTTCGCAAATAGAAATTATAAGAGTTATAGCTTATATTATTAATTACAACGTAATTTTACGTTAGCATACTCGTACGTAACGAACAGCACATGCGCTTCGTCACTGTCGCGTTGGGAGAAAATATAGCAAAGCTTACAGTTTTTTACACTCAAATAAATAAATATTATGACTGTAGACGGAGTTATTTGTTAGTCTGTATTTAGCGTTAAGCGCCTATCTACAACGCAGCGTACACGGTTGTATGTTTGATCGTATATTACTTAATATGCCCTATGCTGTGAGAAACTGTCACAACATACCCGTATAGGTTATCATGAATCAAAAATACTTACGTAAACTTTAGCAACCGGATAATTAGGTGCATTTTCGGGTACGTGGACAGAGTAATGGTCCTGAGGGAAGACAGGCAGCTCGTCGGGTACATCTTGCACCTGCACCGCTACCGACGCAGTACCAAGACGTTTGTCTATAGCGCCATCTGTCGCAGTCACCACGAATGCGTACTCCTGCGCATATTAAGATATTTTATAAGTACACGCAATAGGATGTCCTAGTGAGTAAAAAAATTCAACTTAATGATTTTGAATCAAGTATTGATCTGAACGTAGCGAATGTGCAATATAATTTATTATACCTATTAAAATAATAACAAATAAACTTTTTTTATACAACTTAGAATGGCAAACAAGCTGACGGCCCACCTGATGGAAAGTGGTAACCGTCGCCTATAAACATGAGCAGTACCATAGACATAATAGAGATACGAGAGACTTTGCACAAAAGTCGATTGCTTGGGTACCTCTGTCTCATTCGTGTTTCAACCGTGAAGCAGTTGTATTTGCATGGCTGCGTTTCGGTTTGAAGGGTGGGATATGGCGTGAATTTACTGGGTACCGAGGAATAACATCCGAGGCATGGGGGTATCATGGGCGTAACAGTATACTCTGTTATGTCCATGATACTGCTCATGTTTATAGGCGACGGTTACCACTTTCCATCAGGTGGGCCGTCAGCTTGTTTGCCATTCTAAGTTGTATAAAAAAAATCACACACAAAATTAACGGCAATAATCTCATTTTGAGACGCATAAACAAAACCCAATAACAAGTCCTACCATTGGAGTTTTAATACTGGCTGTTGATACTCAGCTTTTTTAGAACATGTATTGTTTTTAAATTTGTTCTATCTTCATAAAAATCTTTCATAAAATGTCTTGTGGTTTTTTTTTTCACTTAACTGAATATTTTATATTATAAATACATATATGTTTTAATACCGCATTCTGTTGTTTACATCACCTACAAAAAAAGCCGGTTTTGAAAACCCACTTATATAGAAATTATTTCAAATTCTACTTACTTTAGTTTGTTCGTAATCCAATGCAGTGTTAGTAGTAATCATTCCGGTTCCATTGTCTATGCTGAACGGTAAATGCGATGGTATGCTATAGGTAATCATAGCGTTGACACCTTCATCGCTATCAGTGGCGTGGACGTAGCCCACGATCTCGCCCGATAATCCTGAAAATAAGCCGCAGTTTATGTTATTTACATCGTTACAAGTCTTTTAACTGATTGGGCACCAAAGGATGGTAACAAGCGAAAAGGCAGACCCAGAATTGGTGGTCTAATGATTTTAATACATTTTTCAAGTTGTGGTCAAAATAGGGACATGATCAAAGAATATATGTGCATGTGTATATATATAAATCCACACATATTTTTGAGCACAGTTTGTAATGTCACAGGCAAAAAAATATAAACTATAAATTTAATTTTGCATCTGTTAAAGAAATGACCTCGTCTTTCAATTGTGTCAGGTTCGATGCAGCACAATAAATATTCTTAATATATATTGTGCGGCATCGAACCTGATATATATATATATATATATATATATATATATATATATATATATATATATATATATATATATATATATATATATATATATATATATATATATATATATATATATATATAGGCTATGCAATTATTTAATGTCGATTATAGCCAGAGCTAATATTGTAATAGTAATAAGAGGCCATATTACATAGGTAGGACTGTATATAAAGCTTGATAGCGTTAATAAGTCTAATAGCCGGTCTTTTATACCCAACCAGGTCGACCTTCTCGCGGTTCCCCCTGGAAACTCTCATGATTAATTCCTGATGAATTCATCATGATGGGCTAACTGGCCTGTTTTAATCCTCATCGATCACCCTTCACTGGTGCCCCGCCAGCGTATCCCTTTAGCGCAGGCAGGGTACTATTCCATTTTCTATCAATAAAAAAAATAACCAGTCTTTTGGTCGAGTACCTTCTTTCACGTGGAATAAATAAGAGTCTTCGTCAAACTTCGGGTTGTTATCGTTAATGTCGGTGACCTTGATGTTAACAGTCGCTGTGCTCGCCAATTTGCCCGGATCTTCGGCTTTTACCATCTGCAATCACGTTATAAATATTATTGACATAATCTGTAAATATTATTTTTCAAATCTGAAAAGTAAATATTGCATTAATTCATGTAGATAAGATTCGAAGCCGATGGAATTGGGTTCAATTTTCGGGCGTGACATTTCGAAAGCATTTTTATTAAAGGGACGAGGGGCTATTGATGGTCTGGTTTAAGTAGACATCATTGTGGTCCCCAGATAATAGTTCTTCTTTTTTCAATTCATTGTACCACTCCAGTCAAAAATTAATTGTATGGTCGCTCAGTCGCATTGACCAGGCAACGGCGGAGCTTCACGTTTTACGTAACTTTGGTTCTAATATATTCTATATCACTAATTATATAATATTATAACATATATAATTTTAAATACAAGTAGTTACACAAATTTTATCTTGTAAAGATGCCCAAAACAGTATAACTGTCTATTCAACCTGTATAAATTTTTGTTATGGTATAAATAAAAAGTACTTGGACATTTTCAAAGAGTGAATGAAATAATTACATTGCTGTAACTTTTATATACATTTTCTGTCATGTTCATATGAATATAAAAGTCAACGTATAAAAAAACAGTGTGTACATATATATAAATAGTTACCAGTTGATATCTCGTAAGAACTTCTCTGTCTAGTCTCCGTATCACTGTGATAATACCAGTATTCGCTCCAATCGCAAATTGTCGCAAATCGTTCCCAGATACAATCGAATAAGTAACCGGTTCGTTTTCCGGGTCTTTAGCCTGAAATAAAAGTACGATTTTTTAGTTTTTGGTGAGTGCATTGGTAAATCTGTAAAGCTCGCCAAAAATATGTATATTATAAATAAATAAATATTATTATAAGAAAAATTAAAATTGACCATGTGAAAGTATATATTGGATTATAAATTATCCTAAAAAAAAACAGGAACATTATAATAGATAAATAAAATATTAATATTCATGATTGTCGGCATTTAGTGGAACTTTAATACACATATTGATATTATTAAAAAAACAAACAAACAAACAAACAAACTTCTCGACAAATTTATAATAACAAATACTTGAGCAATTTCGCGTTTAAAACTTTTTCAAATATTTATTTACATTTATTTATTTCATGCAATCAACTGAAGAAATTTTAAACTTTTATAAGTATTGTTTTCTAATTTTTCAACCATCAATTGGGGAAGTTGATCAACAATAGTTATACTCATTCTTAGATAAAAGTCTATAGGAAAATTATTGTTCGTTTTGTGTTACTGCTAGATATCAATAAATTAATTATGACGTGTTTTTAATTATAATCTGTTTTATTAATTTTTAGTTTGTTTAAATTATTTAAATGAAAATCACTTTGAAGAGGACACAGTAAATTATTTTGTATTAACATATCGCTACATAGTATAAAACAAAGTCGCTGTCGCTGTCTGTCCGTCCTTATGTATGATTAAATCTTTAAAATTACGCAACGGATTTTGAAGTTTTTTAAATAAATAGAGTGATTCAATAGGAAGGTTTATATGTATAATACGTGCATAATATAGTAAAGAAACACTGATAATTTTAGAGGTTTCTAATGTGATGTGATGTAATGTGCACCCGTGCGAAGCCGTTGCGGGTCGCTAGTCATTAATATAATTAACATCCAAATATTGTTTCTTTTAGATTATTATTATTTACTTTTGTAATTTTAAAATTGCAATATAAATACTTATTGACATATCATTGTATGACGAAAAATGTTACACTAAATATGAATCTAAACAACTCACAGTGACTGTCGTAACAGTAGAGTTAATGGAAGCCCCTTCGGATACAGGCGCGTAATAATCCCTCGAGGAGAACTGTGGCGGGCGCGTATTGGGACCGGGGGCTACGGATAACTCCACGATGCCTTGAGAACTGAGGCCTTTGGCGTCTGTCGCTCGAACTGTCACGCTATACTGCTCGCCGGCTTGCAATCGGCCGCTGCTTGCTGGAATACACGTATAATATAATTTAAATAATTTATAATACAATTCAATCAATTGGCTATTCTATACTGGTAAAGACATCTAAAAACAGCTGATTTGAATTGAATTGAAAGAATAACATAACGATACAAATTTTGAACGAATTTTTTATTTTATTTTGTCGTTTATCTCGCTATGTTCATTTATAAAAAATATGCAGTGTCACAAGCAAAAAACTTGAGACTTGTACTACTTAGTATTGCGTGTAACCTCAAACTCAATTTTGCTGTTAGTATGCGTGTAACATTTTCCTTGTGATCAATTTTATGAAAAGAATTCGCTTTAATATTCAAATTAGACAGAAATGTGAAATACTGAGTGTACAAAGATGGTGACGTGCAACTGAGACTCAAAATTGCTGTGTATTGCTTATTCTCAAATCTTGTGTACTTTAAATTTATTGCACGCAAAAAGAAAAAAAACAACACATGCAATAACAAAACATGAAATAGGCGAATACTTGCTTTGAAAAGGAGAGAGAAAACAACAGTGCTACTTACATATAACTCCTGTGTTAGGGTCTATAGTGAATTTGTTGCCACCGTTATTAGATACGTGATAAATGCTGTATGTTATACGTGCGTTCTCACCCTCATCGATGTCTATGGCTTCCACCTGGAACGTAATAAAAAAAATAGGACTTAGACAAACTCAGTAGTTTTAAATGGATTATAATGGAATAATAACTAACGGAATACGCTGGCGGGGCACCAGACGATAGGTGATGATGAAAAGGCAGGTCAATTAGCCCATTGTAATGAATACACCTAGCATTCAGCACAATTGTTTCCAGGGGAGACTACGTGGAAGTCGACCAGGGTGTATTGCTAGCAATGGGAATACTAATCCCATTATTACCAATCCCTTTTTCTCTCCCCCCCCCCACCTCAATAGTGTATCATATTGTGTCTAATTGTTGCGGGTTTGATCCTTGTATACACAAACATTTGTATTGAATATATATATATATATATATATATATATATATATATATATATATATATATATATATATATATATATATATATATATATATATATATATATATATATATATATATATATATGTTCATATTGATCTTGATGCTTTCTATATAATAAAGCTTTTAACTGTCCACTGCTGAACATAAGCCCTTAGGTGGTTTTTCCAGTAGTTGTCACAGGTAGATTGGTAACTGCAATTAGACTTTAGAGATGTTTGAAGAAGGCCGCTGCTGCCCATCACTCGCCCTCCTTTAATCGCCTCTTACGACACCCTCGGGAAAGGAAGGAAGGCCTATTCTATGTCAGGACTACACCAAATTTATGTTTATGTACCAATGATATAAGTTGCTTAGTTATTGACTAAATGACGCTAACTAATGCGTTCAGTAATAATTATGCAGGTTTCAATAGATAATATAAATGGTATTACAACCCATAGTAACTTTGTGGTGTATAAGGGGACTTAACACGAATGAAAAGACCCATTTAATTCAAAATACGAAATGAACCGTAATGTGATTTGTGTAAGTACTATTTTAAAACTGACCTTATAACTCAAATAACAAATACCTTATGGACAGCTGTAGGTTCCAGACTAGCGGGCACTATAATTGGCTGTGTCTTCGGTATGACAGGCGCGTTGTCATTCTGGTCTAGAAGCTGTACGGCTAACGAGAGCGGCGCCGACGCAGCACCACCGTTAGCTTCTCTCGCCACCACCTTGTTGAGATAAAATAGAAATTATTCATAAACTTGTATTATTTTTTTAAAATTATATAAAAAATAATCTCTTTTACGTTGCTTATCGGGATCAAAACTCTCCTATTTCGTTGCAAGTTGGAGCAAATACACATTATTATATACACACAGAATTAACGTGAATGAACATCGTCACATAATGCACTGATACGGATGTTCGAATTTCGGTATTGTACATTTTAAAACATTATTATTTTATCCAAAATGTCTCTTAATATTTAAATATTATAGATATACCACATCAGCCGTTAACTGTCCACTGCTGAACATAGACCTCCCTCTTGGAGGGTATTGCCAGTAATTACTACGCTTGGCAGGCAGGTTGACAACTGCAGTTAGACTTTGGTGTTTTTTTTCAGAGAGACGTTGTTGCCAATAATCCTCCACCATTAAATTCCCTTAATAGCCTCTTACGACGCTCTTACGACGATAGATTTTAATTTCTAGAATTACTACAGGAAAGCTCGTCGACTTGAGTACCTCTATCTGTCTTGTGTTCTTGTTATTAAGCAGCTATATTGCATGTTTCGGTTTGAATTGTGATATATAACAGTGCAATTAGAGTATACCGAGACATAACAATTTGTTTCTCAGGTATGACACTGCAGATGTGATACTTTGATATCACAGTGATTTTATTCACTACAGTTATCATGACATGCTAATAGGTGACAGTTGTCACTTTCCATCAGGTGGATCCTAAACTACATTACAATTCCATGTTGCATAGAAAAGACAATTATAAAAATACTACCTTTTATCCAAAACTTAGTCCTTGTGACCGGATTATATTCACTGACCCAGATAAAAAGTCTGTCATTCTCTATCTCCTATAGTACGTGTATACCAAATTTCATAATAATCGGTTGAGACATTAAGGTGTTATACTTTAACATGCAAACTCATTTTCACATTTATAATATTAGTAAGGATAGTAAAGATTATCAAACCTGGAATCTGAATTTGCCGGAATTCGGTTGATCGCGATCTAATTTATTATCACTTGCAGTGAGATATCCGTCTTTATCAATATCGAAGAAGTTTGTAGTCAATTCGAAAGTATATTTTGGTACCGGATCACCAGGTCCCTGAAACATAGAATAATAAACGCTTATTAACATCTGAGCAAATTATTTAATACATTAAATACCTTCCTATCGAATTTACTGTTATCGAAAATTATGTAGTAAGTGAACTCGCAAAAATAACCAACGATAAATGTTGCTTTCAAATTATTATTTCCTTTTTTTTTTTGTAATTAATAATGTACTGCGTATTCCTTAATTTATCCGATAAAGAATAAAACATATTAAATAAACACGCAACAAAGTTATATTATAAAGAGCAACCCCGGAACATCAATAGATTAAGATGGAATAATGCAACTTCCTATGTCAACAGTATATAGGACACCAGTGGTTGATGAAACGATGTAGATTAAGTCAAGTTTTTGGGGCGTCATAAAAAATTTTAAAAGGATTAATCATGATGATTTCCACGGAGTACGTAAGATCGACCTAACAGGATATATTGCAAGCAATAGGAACTAACATCCGCAATATTAACAATCTTCTATCCCTCTAGGGAAAACGTGCCCTGTAATTGATTTTAACGGTAAGATAAAAACCCGGACTAAATAATAAAGATGGTTAAAGAACTCACCAAATCAGGGTCAGAAACGCTGAGCCTTATCGGTGTTCCATTACTGTCCACAACCTTGGTACCCTTCGGGGAATTCTCCTCGATTTGGCCCTCGTCTGAGGACGCCTCTACCACTGGTGGGCTGGCGTCTACCGGTCGTACAGTGATTGTCAGTTTGGCTGTAGTAAACCTCTTCGCTTCTGTCACTTCCTCCGCCTATAAAATGAAACAGAAATATTTTAATGAATTATATGATACGTGAGTGTCGTAAGAGCCGACTAAGGGAGGGCGAAGAATGAGCAGTAGCGTTCCTCTTAAAACATCTCTAAAGACTGACAGCGGTTGTTAAACCGCCTGCCAAGCGTGACAATTACTGGCAAAACCCCCCCTAGGGGAGGCTTATGTTCAGCAATGGCTACTTAAAGAATGATATGATGATGATACATTTTTATTAGTTCTTGGTATTTTTTTTATACCGTTGAGGTCTCAAAGGAACCTGACGGTAAGTTTATAGACAGTTACGATAATACCAGAAGCAATGCATGTGAATTGTAAAGAAATGCCTTCTTCCATCTCTTCCATTAAAAAAAAAAACTTTCTAGTCTTCCTGAAAAATATTGACAGATTGGTTGTGATCAAACCTTTCAAATAACTTATGACTCATTATTTTTGGAAATATAAAAATAAAACTCGTTTTTGCTGTATAAAATTTCATACCTTTATGACTAAATTAAATTTCTTCGCGATGCTCGTGTCCACTGGTGTTAATTGCCTCACAGCTCCACTGTTGGGGTCTATAGCAAAATATGTAGCCCAGGAATCCGGTTCCCCACTCTCGATGCTGTAGTGGATCCTAGCATCCAATGTATCCATATCGACAGCTTGGATTTTTTCGGGCTCTATCATTAGGATCCCGGCGAGGACACCGCTATTCACCTATAAAATTAAAACAAAAGCGATGAAATAGTAAACATTAACAATAATGCTTACTCATCAAAGGTAAACATCATCAAAAGAAAAGAAGCTACAAAAACGTTCCAGCTTTGGAGTTCCTATACCAGGCACACAATCTAGTAATCAAGTCAGTATGAGAGATTTATATATATATTTATTTATTTATCATCAGAAGTTAAACGAAGGTACTTTGAGAAAAAAATTCGGTTTCATTAGTAATACATTCTTGGAATACCCTACAAATGATTTTGATCTCAATCAGTAATAAAAATTTATACCATACCATAAGAGCCGTTGACCCACTTACATATATTGTCCACTACTGAACACAGGATTCCCCATAAAGGAGGTTTTGCGATCGCACAATTCGCAATTAGGCTTTGGCAATATTTTAAAAGGGGCATTGCACTGAAGGGGGGCTTTCTACACCGGGTCAAAATAAAAAATTACTTTGCTTTTTTTATATAAATACTTTCATTCGCCCTTTTTCACTCCTTTTCTGTTAACGTTGGTCTATCAACATTGTATATCATTGAGAAATACCTAAATCAACTTTTTGAGTTAACGCATATTATACATTCGATTTTGAGGTCACATAATAAACATGTACTTACATAGCTCGAATACTCTGGATTAATACAGGCTCCATCGTGCAATGTACAACCCTGGTATATAAAGGACGGGTCCTGGTCATCGTCATCTTGAACATTAACTGTTAGTGTCGTGGTACTGGATAGTCGTCGTTTAGTGTCGCGCGCACGATCCTACAAATATAATAATAGTAAAATATATATAATAGTTTATAGAAAATACTATTAAAATAAGAAAATTATTTCCTTGTTTGGTTATTATTTTGGTTTATAATTAATATTGTTATATTTAGTTTTTCATTTATGATACTATACGAGTCGCATAATTCTACTAATAAATTCTTTCTTTCTTTATATTCTAATATTGTTTGTGGCAACACTGGCGAGGAACATTTGGCCCATGTTCAATATTTTCATTCATGTCGAACTTGTCTTCCCTATCGGAAAGTAAATTTAGTCCAGTCATAATAAAGCTTCTAAAATTTTGCGTGTTAAGTTTTCTTCAGAGTCGGCAACACGCATATGACACTCCTAGTGTTACAGGCATCGATAGGCTGCAGCGACCAATTACCAGTAGACGGGCTGTATGCTTATTTGCCACATTTGTGGTATAAAATAAAAAAAAAATCGAAATTACAACGCACACGTTGTACAAATATATAGCTTAAACAAAAGTAAATGTTGCCCGCGACATAATGTCCTTAAATATAATTTATAAATGTAAATAAAGATTTATAATACTCACAGAAGCAACAATAGTGACTAGATACCGCTGCGTACGCTCGTAATCCAAACTCCTATTCACTGTGACTTGCCCCTGATGAGGCAGAGGTATAGCGAAGTATCCATAGCCGTCAACTGCATTCGCAGCTTCCAGAGTCGTGTTGTCGCCTGGTATGATGAAGTATTCCGCCAGGCCGTTGACCCCCGCGTCGATATCGACGGCCCTTATGCCGTTGAATATCGTTGTGCCAATTGGTACCAGCTGTAAAGAAAAACAGACTTAATCAGTTTTTAATAATAATAATATCCTTAAACATATTACACAGCGCCACCTAGTCCCAAACTGAGCAAAGTTTATAATATGGGTCCTAAAAAACTGATATAAATACTCAAACCCTTCTTTTTAATAAAAAAAGAACAATCATAACCGCTATTTGTATGTATTTAAGATATAATTAGCAATTATTATACTTTTTCTATTAAGAATAACTAGTAACTACTAATAAACTAACGGCTCAGGTGATAAATTCAATTAAATTTTAATAAATTTTATATTAAGTTGTAAATAAAAAATATAAATTAATTTTGGATTGGAATGACACGATTATTTGTTTTTAATCTATCATCCTATTCAGAATGTACAATAAACTCAGCAGATAATCTTTAAAAACAAAAGTTGAATTACAAGTTTCGAATTTAGTATGAAAACAATTAGTACGATTCGGTAATCGTCATCAATAGACATGAATAACCATGACATTCCTCGCCTTTGTATAAACTTGAACTTCAAAACTAACAATTCGAAATGTGAACCGCAAAATTTTTAATAAGACTAATAAAAAAGGAAAGCATTTTTAAATGACCAACATTACTTACAAAACTAATAATTCAACATGCCTTTTAATATGGCAAGATAATACTTTACCTCGGATACGTTGGCTTCATACGGTACTCCTTGAAACACAGGTGCGTTATCATTGATATCGGAGACTCTCACTATAACTGGTATGGTCCGACGTTTCTTAGTCGCTTTCACTTGACACACCAACTGTGAATAGACGCCTCATTAGTCATATTCAAGCTTCTGCTAACAATTAACATACATGTGCCTTAGGCGATATTATAATTAAGTATCTGATAAAGAACAGGTGTTACGAATGAAAGCAAACGTAAAATATTAATAAGATATGACATGAGAACATAAATAAATAACATCTTTAAGATTTTGTTCCACAAAAAAGAAAAAAAAAGCCGATTTCAATTGTGGTAAAACCTGTTATTCTGATAAACAAACCAAACCCACTGAAATTTGTATGAAACCAATTTGTAAGTATATACTTTCAGATAAAAAAGGAATTTTCCAAATCCGTTTACAAATGACAGAATTGTGAGGTAACAAATATATATAATACGTTACAATTGAGGACCTCTTCCTTTTCTGGAGTCGGTTGAAAATTGTTTCGAAATAAATATTAAGAAATGTGTTTTATTAATAAATTTTAAATGAAAACAACTGTTTGTTTTGTTTAACTAAGCTCTTATATACGTGAGAACTAGATTTATATTTCAAAACATATATTTATTCGTAAAGTTATGGATTAATCATCAAACGTTTTAGTGGTTATGTTAGATTTTACGTATCATTAACATTAATACAACTTATTATATTAATTTTTCAAAGTAAGATAGTGAAATCACGAGTTTTGATTCTTAGAATGTTCATACTTGCATCATTCCATTTACACTGCGTAGTCTTTTGAGAATAATAACTCAAAGTCAGCAATAGATTGTTATCAAATATCGTTAGGGTATAACTTATAATTTAATGTAATGAATTCGAAAATAACATTGTATTAAATATTTATGAATATTATAAATTAGAAACCTACTGCAGTGTACTGCGTCTTAATTTACAAAAGTGTACGTAAAATGATATAAACAAATCGAAGCAGTATTCTTAGAATAATAAAGTACTATTTTACCCGATATAAATAAAAAAAAATCTGTCAAACAAAAAAATGAAAAATAACATGCAATATTTCTAGGAACATAATAAGTAATACAACAATCACCTGGAAGACCATATGGGACAGATTGTCCGCATCCCTATCCAGCGGCTGCAGCAGCTGTAATCGCTTTCCATCTAGCTGGAACAACGTTGGACCCTTGGGAAAGACGGTAGTGAGCAGCACGTCCACATCTGGCTCGCCCACTATTGGAAGTTCTGATGGTATTGTGCTTTGGTTGACCTCTGCGATTATAATAATACATCTATGAGAATGACTTATAATCTAAAGTAATATTAGAGAGAGGAAAAAAAATTTTTTCGTTTATAATAAACAAAATTTTTAAAGTCAAAAAATATTTAACCAATTTTAAAAAAAAATCACATATAGATAGATACATCATCAGCGAATAATATGAGCTGCATTTTATTAAAAAAAAAAGAATAATGTAAAAAACGATTAGATAATTAGCAACAACAAATTAGGAAAATTGTTTAGGTTTAATATTTGGTACAAATGTGAACAGTCGTTAGGGTAGACAGAAACCTAGAAATAGATGGGCACTTCATGTGTCCTTCTATTTTTACGTTCTTGGAATGTGATATGAGCAAAAAGAGAGTGAATACTAGAATGACTGCAAATAGAAATTAATGGAACTAAATACCTAGGAGTAGGTAGGTATTATATTACGCCAACTCTAATAATTTTAATATTTCTTGTGTAGATAGAAAAACTAGTAAGAACACTGGCCCAGATATTGCACAGAAATATACTATAGAATAAATTAATTAAATAAAAAAAAACAGTCCTAATCAATTTGTAAAACAAAACAAAAATTATATATATATATATATATATATATATATATATATATATATATATATATATATATATATATATATATATATATATATATATGATTCTTATATTTTAAGAATATTTGCACTCAGATATTATAAATTATGATAATAACATTACGGGTATTGATTTCAAATCTAAAATGAAAGTAAAGTTAAATTTACACTTGATAGTTCACTGTATTGTACTCGCTAGGTACATGGGAATAGCAAACAAATTGACGGCCCACCTAATAGAAAGTAGTTACGGTCGTCAAGATTGGTTTCAAGTAATAATAAAACTTACGATCTCCTCTACTCTCTTCAATATCGACGATGATGCTCGACTGCCCGGTTTCCACTTCACATGGACCTGAAATAAAACAAAAACACAAGATCGTTAATTTTTATTTATATTACAATTTTATTTATAAATATTATACAGACAGACTGTCTCCATAGAAGTGTTTCAAGAAAAGCGGGTCAACTTTTTTATACCATTTTGCGTGATAAATAGTTATGAGTGTTCCTTTATAACTTTAATGTTTATTATGTTTTATATATTTATTTTGCATCTTTTTAATTCGTAAAAACTCATTTTATTTATTAATAATTAAATATAGATACGTCAATATACATTATGTGCGTAAATATATAGAACACTGAAAAAAAAAAAGTTAGCTAATTAGCTGACAAAAAGTTACCTGTTTTTGAGACTCGATGCTCTATCTATATAATCTAAGATATCAAGCAACATAAATTTATTTTGCTTAGTAATCTATAAGGTTTTCAAAATAATAATAATAATTTATTATTATTATAATTTAATAATTTATTTATATCTCCTCACAAATAACTTAGATTTACACAATATAGTGTTTAGGATAAAAATAACATTAAATTAATACAAAATAAACGTAAGAAAATGATGATAATTAATGATGATTATGGAACGTATGAAAATTTATTTTAAAATTAATTGATATTTTTAACCTTATGCGATACAAAACATTCTCAAAAACTCGTCCAATTTTAAAGAACCCATTAGACATTTAAGAGGCATTAATACAAATTAATATAGTAATAGAAAGTAAACAAAACATAAAATATACAATATATCGTAACCAGAATTGCAAACAGACGTAACAGGGAAGTATAAAATGGAATACGAATGAAATAGTCCAGGTAAAACTAACAAACAGACATAAATAACAGCAGGACAGGTGCACTGCGAAATGCATGCCTTCGTTAGCTCAACTAATTAAGTCTTTACTTTGAGTTTCTGTTCAATTTACTTAATGTTTCCACAGCATATATCATTATAGAATTTTTAGTACATATAATACGTTACTTTCAAATTATTGTCTTCGTTACACATTTTCAATAGTTTGTCGAATCATCATATATATTTATCAATCTAAGTCTATCAAAATTATTACATCCATCTACATATAAAACTGTTGCTTCATTTCATTCTCTTTCTAGATATCTGAATTTAAATTATTATCAGAGAATATCCAACAGTATTCACTTACATTTATTAGAAATAAAAATTATAAATGACTATCTGAAGCTGTCGACTTTGTACGCTTGCTATCATGTTTCCCTTTTAAAGAGCTATTCAAAAATTCTTTCTTAGCGGATGCTTGTGTTATAAAATAAATACTTAATAAAGACTTAGTAGTTTGTGCTGTCAGTCGAGACAAACAACGTTATTTTATGTTATGTTTAATATATACATATAGTCTATTCCTACCGCCACTCTTTAAGTACATTAACGACATACGAGTACACCCTCATACAACTGAACTTTATATTTTTACGTGACAGGTAAACCGCGCCGTAAAATAACGCGAAATGGAATTAGATGTAACGAAATATTACAGAATGATCGTTAACACAGCAGTAAATGTCACTTCTTGCGGTTATAGACAATTCACAGGCTTTGAGGATTACGTATTAAACTATACGATATTTTAATGGCTTATAAACAAGCTTCTTCCCTTGACTACGCTTACGTAAATGACAGCTTCGCGTTTCCTCTAACGGTTTAATACACCCGCATGCCACATAACATTACCAGAATTACAGACATAGGTACGAGTATCTGCCAATTTAGCTGTTGTAATAGTCTCTAAGGAAATAAGATTGTAAAATATAAAGATTTTTATCAGATTATCAATAATTGATAAAATATCTTATTTTGAAACAAAAAGTAAAAAGGACAAAGAAGGGAAAAATAATATCTGAAATCGGCGTTTGTACATGATTTGAATTATAAAACAAGAACAAACCAAGTGCTGTAAAGTTATATTTTAGACTGTTGAAATTCAGTTTTCTAATACTTTATTAATTGATTGGTTTAAAGACCAGATCAGACGAGTATAGACAAAAATAATAAGTAGAATAATATATTGAACTTCATTCAATAAAAATATTTTGGAACATGGATATCAGTTTCTTTAATGCTAGTTAATTTTTGCAGATTCTATATGAAACATGCAATAGGGATCATTAAAACGCAATACCTTGCTTTAAAAGAATTTATATCTTAAAGAGTAAAACTAACTACCAAAGTAAAAGCTACGATAAACAGCCCAACCCTTCGTGCATGCAAACAAAAAACTAATTGCATTCCACATTTCACTAGGCGCGAGTCTGAGAACCATTCCTTCGTGTTCTTATTTGTCACCAAATTAGGACATCCATAAAATATTATCATTATATCCATAAATGACATTGTTAATTAGTACACTTGTACTCATATATTTCATTTTGTATCTCTAAATGTAATATCGAGTTAGACGTAGCCCTTATAAGTATTCGATCCAATTAGAAAGCATAGTCTGCCCTGTTTCGCGCATGTATTAAATAGTTTGCGTGTTTCTATTCATTAGTTAGTGAATTCTTTTGTTGAAAAAGTTGCTATAGCATTGATACATTTTGTGAAATGTTATTTAATGAATAACAAGCCGTAAAGTATGTTAAGAGACTATTACATAACGTAAACAATAAGTTTGCTTGTACCATTAATGAGTTTATATTTAAACCACAAATTGAGTCTAATTAACAATATGTTTTAGATGCGTGATAAAAAGAACAATTGAAATATCTATTAATAAAGTTTTAAATATTGATTAAATTATGATCCAATATACTATATTTATTATAATTAGGTATATTTCGAAAACATGGCTCGTTCCTGGTAAAGAATAGTAACACAAGTGCAATTTTTCTCGATTGCCTTTTATATCTTCTTACTATGAATCAAACTGTGAAACCTATTTTATATTATTGCCATATACCATATTTTTTTATAATTTATAAAAAAAAAAACTGTAACTTACCGGGTGTCGTTCTCGCAAAATGCAGTAGGTATAATAGCACGATGAGCCAAATGGGTGATTGTCCATGCTGGATCAGCGCGCTCCACCGCGCCATCTCACTGAAACAATTTCAATTCACGTTGAAGAATCATTTGCCTTTGAACAAAAATAGATAAACACCAGATACAGATAAATATAACATTTAATACTCATTCACACAATTTTGTATACTATAAATAATTACTGTCATATAAATATCCAAAATAATAAACTTTAACCATGAACAAATAAACACACAAACGTCCACCAAGTATCAACAAGAATTGTTGAAATAAAATTACATATTCAAGAACGTAAGTAGATCAAGTTATACACGATCATTACATTTCAATTACGAAAACCTGTGCCGATTTAATGAATCAGTATTTTATTAAGTATCAAATTAACACATTTGTAACGATAATGTTACACCTAATGGATGATAACTACAATTATAATATAATGAACTATTATTATTATAATAAATTTGGTCAAAATCACAAGACGGCCTAAAACCCGTTCTTGTGCACCTCACTAGTTCTACTTTTACGGATTATCGACCATTTTACGTATGTCGATGATAAATAGCCGGCATTTAGGTGGCAAACAAAGGTAAGTAAATTCAATTGATTTAAATAAATACCTGACTCTGGAAAGGAAAACAATTCGCTATTCTCCTTTCAGATTTCTAGTATACAATGATTTGTTTACCAACATTATGTCACGATTAGCTATCGATTTACAATTTATTTTAATATCAGCTGCCATATTACAATAAATTTTAATAGCATTACCATAAATCATTCGCGTTTTCTAAATCGTATGCTATAAAATCTTTGAAAAAAGATAATCTTAATTTCACAATTTTAATAACAGTAAAAATACTATATACATATACTAGAAACAAAATTCAGTTACAACGAACTGTACAAGATTGTAAATTTGTGTATCCTTAACACAGGTATATTTCCTACACTGAAAACAAAAACTTGTAAGAAACTTGAACATGTTTTAAAACTTAAAGTGTAATAATACACGACAAAGATAAAATTAATTAAGTACCCATTCATTACCGACCGGTTGAAAGTCTAGTTGCGGCAAAAACTAGATCCCGAATAGCTATTATCTGAAATGCTTGTAATAAATCATGGGAGTTAGAAGTCCGCCTTCGGATCCACCGACCAACATAGAGTAGGCGGGGTCTCCAATAAATAAGATGTGATGTGACGATGGCGCAAAGCTTACTAGTGATCGCTGATCTTGGAACTTTCGTAACAAATATTAGGATTTTTAAGAAGCTAATTTAAAAGCCTATACTTGTATACACGGTCAGATGTGATAAAACAGAAACATTCGCTTTAAAATAAATTGAAGGCATTTAAAGATCTCTCATTTGAATTAAGTTGTTTTTTTTAAAAAAAAAAAAAACAAAATAATACAAATGAGAGATCTAAGTATAAGCATCTGTCATTGGAATTAGAAACAATAGGTTTACATACTCGTAGGTTTACGCTTACGCTACAGCACGCCCGATGAGAGAGATGAGACGCAGAACATACTGTCTTTTTCTATAATTATTTAAATAGTCTGAAATAGATGTAGCAAATCATTTTGGTATATACAAACTATTTATATATAGACAATGATGCAAACAAAATGTAGTTGTGCAAGTTTTTTATTTTTATAAAAAGGGTCCACCATTACAATATTATATTATCTATGCAAATATAAAAACGGTTGGTAGACTATAAACGGTGCATAATTTAGCGTTGGACTTATTATTAATATGTCAAAACAATCGTTAGTAGATATAAAAAAGAACGCCCACGTACTACTCAACTACCTACGAGTAATAGGAGGGTGTTGCAATATGCGTTTATAAGTATTATAGGTTTAAATACAATGACGCTTCGAAGTCGTATTATTAAACACTTGTATGAATTAAAAATCAATCAGATATCCAATGGATCAATAATATAACTTGAATTATAAAAATTTTAAACAATACATATTGTAATATTCATAGAGTTAGTAACTGCGTATGTACACAAAACAACTAGACAGCACTTGGCATAACTCGTCTTGCTGATATTTTCTAGCTGAAGAAACTAAAGGTCATATAAAGCTAGTTATGCAAAAAAGAGTGACATTACATGGGATGTCCATAAGAGATTTCTGAAAATGTCCATAAGAGTTTTCTGGATAACTAACTCCATTTTACTTCCTTAATACTGAAGTTTAAACGTATTTAGGATTAAAGTCATTCATCATTTATATCATAAATCATCCGCGATATGGTGCATTGGGAGATTATTAATACAACTTTAAATTAATTATATTTGTGTATAGTTAGATTAGTATTGTGTTATTTTTAAATGAAACTAGGAACACGGTAAAATCAACTTTGTATAGATAACTATATATTTCATATAACTATAATTACAGTAGCTTTTTCATACAATACCAATGATGCTGTGGACTTGCACTAGCTAGCAAGCTAAAATCTGATTAAGGCACGGCATCGTACTGAGTAATTGGGGCCTCGTAACATTAATATGTCTTCTCTTGAATTAGCATATGCTTTCCAGTTGTGTAAATCCGACTGCCCCCTGGCGATTGTGCGACATAAAAGTTGACGTACTTTATGAATGCCCTACGCCCGACAAGCTCAAAGGATGCTAGTACGCCGCTAGAATTAAAATTATCTTTTATTATGTCTCTTAAATATTAGTATATATATTTGCAAGAGCTATGGAAGTACCACGTGACGTGAAAAGTACTTAAATTATGTATAGCTTTCACTTATGTACATAAGTGAAAATACTAAAATCCCTAGTTTATAATTACAATCAAGTATACGTTTCTGTAATCAATAGTCACGCACAACCATTCTTTGGAATCAACTTCCAGCAGCAGTATTTCCGAACCGATACGACAATATAACCTTCAAGAAAAGAATATATTCCTTTTTAAAAGGCCAGCAGCACACCTGCAATGCCGCTGGTGTTGTGGGTGATCATGGGCGGCGGTAGCCACTTACCATCAGGTGATCCGCATGCTCACTATGCAAACATTTGGTGATGTTTCAAGAGGAACACTGCTGCCCAACCTTCGACCATTAAGTTCCCTTTGTCGCCTATTATGATACCTACGGAATAGAAAGGGATGACCTATTCCATGTCGGGACCACACGGCAATATGTTAAGTATATTAAAACAAGTTATAGTAAATTAAAACAAATTGTTATTACAGTTTAGTACGATCTAAATCTATTTCCAATATAGGTTTCCTTTTATCTGTTCTGGTATAAAATCCTAATAACTATTAAATACACCCACGAATGCCAGGTTTCCCATTAACCTGTCCAGTTCCATTTCCTGTAATAGAACAAATCATTCGCCAACACCTAGGTAACAAAAGTTGACTACAAAAAGTAGCTTCATATGTACATTGACGTGATTTGGTGTTATTCATCAATATTTAAACAATTTTTTGTATATTTAATAATTATATATATTTATTTACATTTTATCTATCAAATATTTCTTATTGAATACGATAATTTTTATTATATTAACTGTATCCAGCAGTTCCTTATACGTGATCAATACGTAAAGTATCCCATGTTTTTAGGACAAACTACGCAAATACCAAATTTAATTCAAATCTGTTTAGCAGTTTTTGCGTGAAAAGTAACATCCATCAATCATTACAAATTTTAGCATTTATAATATTAATAGAGTTAAATGAATAAAAAGAACCTTGTTGTTGGTATAGTGTGAAAATGTCATTATCCATAGAATATTATCTATAGAAATAGCAAAAAAGAACAGTCAAGAATCCACTCATTTAGAAAAAAATCGCCTTAATAATCAAAGTTACCCCATTATTATACCTTAACCTCGAATATACTGTAGTCTCATAATCGTATTAGACATTACGAACAGTGGTACATTTACTGTTTGTTAGAGCCAGTCGTCATAATCCAGTTATGTGAATAGAAAATCAGGATACAGGTAAACATTCCGTGTAGAATATTTCATTGTAAATCAGTCAATTTTTTAATTACAATTCGGCTTATAAATTAACGTTATTTTTAAAGAACATTGTTTACGAATCAAATGGTGATCATATGTCTCAAATTCTGATCATCGTATGTGAAAGAGGTTGCCGAGGTTTTCCCAAGAGACTACAGCATGGGGTTCTTCAAAAGGGGGATAAAGATGTTTCTTCAGGGTCGGCAACGCACGCGTAATGCCTCTGGTATTGCTGTTCATAGACTACGGTAACCACTTACCATCAGGTGGGCCGTATGCTTGTTTGCCATCTCAGTGGTATAAAAAAAAAATATGGACATCAATAACAACAAAAATGTTGATTACTTCTAAGCTTAATTAAATGAGATTTTAGAATATAGAAACAAGGAGAGAAAAAGGGAGAGCCTGTATGAAAGTATGCAAATAAATAATATCATTAACAAGTATTCTATTTATAAATAGTAACTGAGGATATAAATTCATTAACAAGTATTCATTTTATAAATAGTATCTAACTAAATATGATTAAAATAAAACAGATATCAAAAGACGCAAAAGATTTTAAGATTAAAATATTTTAATGCGCCTTTTTGTTACTTTATGCGATTGTAGTTGTTTTTACATATTTAACGAGCTATAGAACAGAAAACGGAGCTGGAGATGATCTTTATGTGAGCCCTACGGCCAGATATAGAGGTAATCTGCATAAATGAGTTGAGTGTACTATAATTATGGAACCATAGTAAGGAAATGTAATCTTATTACTGTGACAAAGAACTCTTATGTATTGACGATGGAAAATATTTACAACATATGGATGCCTTCTTATGTTGAGCATTTGAAACAATTCTCTAATCGAATTAAACTTAAATCATGTTGTTCTGTAATTATAAATCGTTGACTATAAAATAATTATCTTACCATTTAAATCACCAAGCAAAAGCAAGTTACTTATTTGACTTTTTTTCATATCACTGAGATGTTAACAAACGTAAGGCCTACCTGATGGTAAACATTTACCGCAGCCTAAGTTAAAAACTAGA